AATGTAACACTTTCATAGCATCAGTTTATAATTAGAATTTTAATTAATTTACATTTAAACTATCAAATAGAATCTAGAAAAGTAATAATATTTTCTGAATTATTCTTTAGATAATCTAGTAAATTGAAGGATGATTTTAAAAAATGCTTTTATATTTTTATATACATTGACGATTTGTACTCTAAACATTCCTTTTAAACCCGTAAGAAAAATTATCATTGGTAAAAAATAATATTTTTGATGAGCCAATTCATTTTTAGAGAGAATATTTAATTTCTATATGAGTAGAAATATAACAAAAATTTTTAAGAGAAAATTTATTTAGTATTAATTCTGTAATACACCTCTAATAAAACAATAATTCCTGAATTTCTTTACAAGGCATGATAAAATTAAAAAAAAATTCTACCGCTCTGGAAAAAATTTTTGTTGACGTTGCCATCCTCATAACATAATAAGGATGTTTTGATGCAATAAAAACCTGAATTCTTCGTTGGCAAATGCGATTTATTATTCACGAGCAAAATTTAATAACTATTAAAAAAAACTTAATATTTCGTAATAGTTTATGTGTAATGAATGGGTGGGATAATTTGCGAATGTAATCGTTGCAGAGTGTGAGGAAGATGATGTTGAAACTAGACGGTGCAAAAAGCTCTCGTTTAAGCTCCTTCCCTGCTATATTCACATTTGAACATAATCACGTTAGAGTCAAATTGAATTGGTTGCGTCGCGACGCGTGCGCTATATATGACGCCTTGCGGTATAGTTGATAATATCCTTTCCCCTTTTCCTACCTATGTACGTTCATATGTATACATACATAATCATTCTTTACTCTGTGTCAGTCGTGCTCATTGGTATCTTCACACGCATCACAAAGTTTATCGCTATATGCGAAAAAAGCAAAGTGTTTTATCTCCTTGTTAAACTACATTGTAAACAGTGTTTATTTTTTAGTTTTATGCCTTGTTATGAACTAGCTGACAGATCCATCACTATATACTTTTACAACTTCAAAAAAATATGTACGTATATGTCCATGGATATTCCTGGTAGGAATAAAGATTGGTGAGCTTTTAGTTCATTATAGAGCCAATGGTGGGATATAAAAAAAGACCAACCTTTGTTCCTTCTAAAGATAGAGTAAATTTAATATTCGATATCTCTACCCTTTGATTATACTACCTTGAATGGTCAGGTCTTCTCTCAAACGAGTATGAAAAAAATGTATCCAAGAACTGTACAATGAACCCTAATGTCCTGCTGTCATTTTGGTTGAAAGTTAAAATTAAAATTTTATATGAAAAGGAAAAATTTGATTGAAATATTTATGAAAGCTTAATTTTCTAATAGAATAAATGTGAGGTCTCTATTAAAGATTAGAAATAGAATTTTACGCACTCCCTATTATGTACAAGTATTGAATAACATTCTACACTCTATAACATAGCATCCACGGTGGCACGCGAGCATTCGAACCGTTAATCTACTTACATCAGTTGATTGGAATGAAATAGGGTAGATAAAAGCTTTATACTACCCACTGCCACTAACTATCAAAAATATAATAGACTTAGCTACGTTCATCGTCTCTTTTTGGACATTATTTTTTATCATCTCCTTCGATCCCTATTACATACACATAAAATACATTTCATATTTTTACTATGATTTTAATCGCATAATTAACAGGAACAATATAATCACATGTTGTAAATGACTTTGTGACCCAGTTTAAATAAATATGAAAATAAATAACTTTTCAAGAGGATGCAGTTTTAAAAATTTCATCTCCAACATCGTGAAATGGTTCAAAAGGAAACCGGAAACTCTCACACATAAAATATGATCGATGTCATTCATCTTTTGCTTTTATTTGTTCTTCACAACAGCGAAATAACCCAGGCTGATATTTATCTAGAAGCGTAACAACTTATGCATGTACAACAACGAGAGAGTGGCTAATTGTAAAGCCAATGCCCTTGAGTAAAATGCGGATATTCAACCACTTCTGATTCAATGTCTATCCGATAGCAATGAAGAATTCAGTCGTGCCACGTGGAGCGTGAATAAACTGAAGCAATGTCTACACAGTTTCAACGTCTTCCGTAATACGTTCAGTTATTCTATGCTAATATGAAGGCTAATAAATTGTTTTTCCGCAAATTCAGTGGATGAAGCAACACAAATAATAAATTAGTCTGTATGAGAAAACTTGGTCTGATCTGTTAGTTGCAGGTAAATTAATCACTGTCTCACTCTTGACATTCCTACATGGGTTATTTTTTTTTAATGAGCTTCTATTTGAAAACAAAGATTTAATTATTCAATACTGATTCATGATTACATGAATAATAAAAATATGTCACACTTCATGGATACTTTATTGTCAAAAAAATAGTTTTTATCTCAACAAAATAATTTAACTTCTAAAGTCAAATTGAAATATACTATTTTTTATTGAATGATGTTATGTTTTTCAATAATAGCAGACATTCTGGATTAATTATCCAATTTTAGAAATATTTGGAGCAATAGTGACCAGCATTTTTGATTAAAAAAATCTCCTAAGTGATTAATCAAAAAATATATTTAATAAAATCTAATCATTTTGATAAAAATAGAAAAATTTTTATTTTATCAGAAAAAAAAGATTAATCAAATCAAGCTATCAATTAAATGTTAAAAGATAATTACTGAACTTAAAATTGAATTTTAATGAATTTGTAAATTGGCAGTTCCAAATATAAAAATTATGAAGAATCAATCTTTTTAATTTTTTCTGCATAATTGATAAAAAGTAAAAAATTCAATCAACTGATGATGATGATGAAAGCAGTTCAATCAAATATTGATCATTACTTAAATCTAATTAGTTTTAAATTGCCTTCATCAACTTAATAAGACAATTGACACACCTACGAAAAGCTGCTCTTCACATTGCTGACAATGTTGAAAATTTGATTTCATTAATGCACTTCGTTATGATCACATGAAATGATCAAGCCTTCAGTTTTTTAATGTTTATTCACTCCGTTTATTTAACACTATGTTAATCTATCAATTCCCTAAGCTTTAATAATAAAAATGAATTAAAAACATTGTGAAATGGATCATAATTATATAAAAAATGGTTAAAAATTGAAAAGGATTTCAAGGAATTAATTTAAATCTATTATTTAAATTCATTATACAAATCTCAGAGTAAAAATTCATTCGTGAAAGCAAATTTAAAAACTTTATTTTTTATGTATAGCACTTTATCTACTTTCAGTTCATATTTCAAAGATTTAATTCAGTTATCAATCAATTAATCAAAAATAATTATTCAGTAGATTTTTTATGCATTTGAAATTCAAATATTTGACCTCAATATTATAATTTTGAATTTAATTTCTTTTCACTTATAAATACGATTATGATTGCTAAACCAAAAATAGGTAAATATTTAATTGAAAAGGAAGTTAATCATTTAATCATTTGATGGTGAAAAATTTCATTGATTATCTGTTACAAGCTGCTATAATATTCTTTACCAGCAAATACCATTTTTAGGATTAAAAATTTAAATGTAACGTGTAACTGAATTTTCTAATAACACTGTCATTTCATTTCATGATTAATCAATAGATAGAGCATTGAAAAATCAACTGTGAGCAATCTATCGTTGAGAAATGGAGAGGAAATAAATTACCAAAATCAATTTTACATGAAAACGTATTGACAACACTTGGAAAGAACGTATGTTCTAGAGATATATTGACAGTTCCGTCCAATTATATTATCATCCAAAAAGACAATGGAACATATCACTTGACGTTTAACTTCCGGATTAATTGAAATCTATTTCATGTTCAATGTTCAATAGACTAAAATTTTTGTCAAGAACATTGAACGGTTTAATATCACTCAGATATTCTGAATTAACTATTTAGAGCAGAAACTATCGATGGATGTTGGAAATTCTTGAATTAAAAATTCCAATTAATTTTCGATTAAAAAAAATATATTTTCAGCTATTGAAAAACGTTTCAGAGTCGATATATTAATAAATACATTATTGAATATTTAGTAAACGTAATTTAACATTTTAATAAATGTTTTATAATTCAATATACACATATAACAAAGATAAATATACACGACGAACGCATAAAATGTCAGGATATTAATTATGAAAATATTTCAAAGGAATCTATATCAATATTCTCTCTTTAAAATATATTCTCGTTAATAAACATACTCTAATGAATTAAAAAATCAAAATAAACTATACATCTCTTATTTACAATCATATTTTCAATTATGATAAAATATTTCAAAAAAGTTATATTTAATTTTATAAAATAATTCCGGTCTCAAATTAGCAGTTATAATTATCCATTCATAAATATAAATTAATAAATTAATTTTTCTGAGTTCAGGTTACTACAAAGTGAATACAAAAATTTATTTTATCACAGAATGATGAAAATACTCCAAAAAAATAATATAATATATAAGTAATAATCCAACATTAAAGAAAACGTCTAATTAATTACCTCAGTTTCTATGAATATGTTTCCAAAATGCATTTTGGTATTAATATGAATTGATAATATTGTCTAGAATACATGCATACAAATGATAACTTTAGGGCTTGTAAGTTTATTGAAAATGAGTTCTATCAGTTAGCCTGGTGATTACCGATTGCTATGAATAAATTTCGAGTTATTGGAACGAAAGCTCACGTCGACTAATTGATAGTGGTCATAATCAGAAATTAGTAGTAGCTGAAGTTAATGCTTCATGCAAGCCTAATTCCATTAAATTCACCCCAATGAAATCTGTATTATTGGAATGCTCTCTCTCTCTCTCCTCTCTCTCTCAAAAGTGATTATTAAGCACTTTAGCAGATCATTATTTCATCATTTTCAATTTCATAATTTTGAGCACTAAAAAATTGTTAACTGCAATTGACTGATCATACTCTTTGTAATTGAAATGATAATTAATAATAATCATTAGATTTTCTTTATTGCTTTGTAAAATATTCAAGTAAATAGTATTAAAAAAAAGTATTCGACCTTCGCAATAGCAACATTATATATTGTTATTATTATTAATAAAAATATTACAATGATCGTAATGACTTGTAGTTATCTAAAAAACGTTTTTCTGTATCACTTGATGCAATTAGTACCAAAAAGGAGGGTGTCCCACCTCTCACAGTAAATCTGAAAAATTTGAAAAATTCAATTCAGTTATAATCTAGTTATATACAGCTATTAATAAATATTAATTCTAATAACCGATAGTTAATGCAATTATTTGCTTCAATATTTATTAAATTAAGTACAAAAGGGTTTGTTAAGGAATTTATATAAAAATAGAAAGTAATTATAAACTTACTCTTCTTGTTTCATAATAGTCCCTAAGGTTTTGCTTACATCTATTTTATGAATAGACATTTTATTCTTTCCTTCAAAATAAACGTTTAAATTGGAGAGAATATACCGTCGACCAATATCCCACTCTGGTGGCTCTTCAAATAATTCCTCTAATTGATCCATAAACCTATTGAGTAATGATGGATGATCATTATTAACGAATGAGTAAATAATTAAATTATAATAATAACATTTATCAAAGCATTATGCTCAGATAATTTTATTTATATAGATCTTTCTTACGGTGTATCCTCATAAAAATTTTGTATGAAATCAGTCTGCATCGTTTCAGGATAAAGAATCATTACAGGCCACACTAATCGATTTGCTTGGTCAAACCTTACTCTGTACTGAGCCAATTGTGGAATTTGTGGTTCTAAGTCCTTCAGCTCAAATATTTTTTTGTCAGTAGATAATTCTATCTTTATACCTCTATTAATTATAGCTTGAATTAACTTGTTTTCTTCTTCTTCTACAACTTTTTCACGCTTTTCTTGCATGCGATCATCACGTTGTTTCTTTTTCTATAAAACAGAATAGAATAATTTAGAAATATTCCACAAGCTTATAGATTTTATCGACCGATGAAAATTTTTATTTACTCGTTCTGTTAGTGCGTTTGTCATAAGTGTTGAAATTTCCTTATTTGGTTCATATTCTGAAAGATACCTATCAGCTAGTTCAATACATTCATCATAATTTTTACTGTAATAACAACATTGAACTGCTCGAGCTAAAGCTTTTGGATAAATTGGTTTAAGTTTTATAGCACGCTTACAATCAGATAAGCTCGACCTGAAAGATAAATTATTATAAAATAAATGTTAGCAATTAATTAGAGAATTGAAATGAACTTCTAACAATTTTGTAATCAACTTACCGATAATTTTTTAACATAAAATGAGCTGCAGCTCTATTATTATATAACTGTGCCCTCAGATCGTCATCTTTACATTTTGTTTTAATTCCTTCTGTGTAACTTAAAATAGCTAAGCGGTATTTTTTATATTTATAATTGAAGTTCCCATCCTCTTTATAATTTGCTGCTAGTTCTGAAACAATTATATACTTATAAAAAAAAAGCTTATTGAAATTATTTTTGCATTTGAATTTATTTTGAGAAAAAATATTATCAGTCATGAAAATTGACTTGTTTCCGGGAAATAAGAATTTTTTCATTACTTGTATCTACAATAATTGAATTTTAATTAATTATGACTCGTGACTCATTTGATTGTTGTGGCAGGAAATTTTTATTCTTTGGTAAACAAAATTATATTACCATTAATGCAAAAATAATTTAATTTGAAATATTATTGCATATTAAACATTTTTCTGTTCTGTGACTGATTAATAATTAAATCTTCAATAAAAACAGATTGGTTTTAAAATTCAATTAATCTCATATCAATGCAAACCTTCAGGAGTATTTTCATCCTCTCCATACTTGAGCTGTTGTAGTCCCTCAATAAGAGGAGAAAGTTCTTCACCAGGTTCTGGGGCTTTTTTCATGAAAAATGGATGTTTTTCCATTTCTTCCTCCCACCGATCTTCAGGCCATCCTTCTGTATAAGATTTTCTTTCTAAATTACTAATATATTCGTCTAATTCAGCATCAAGTTTAGCTGCTAACTCCAAACGTTCTTCCTCACTCCACTTTTTTTTTTTAGTTTTGGTGTTTGTTACCTCAGTCATCATAAAATTTTACTAAAAAAAAAAGGCTCATATAAATGCAAATATTCATTACTTAAAAATAATTTGATAGTTTATCAAATAAAACTCAAATAATTAATTTATTTAGAAGAATAACCTATGCACAGCTTTTATAACCTCAAATTTCCATGCTCGTTTATATTTAGCAACTTGAAAACATTCAAACAATGGTCATGGGGTAATAATAAAATAAATCTTATTTAAATTATCAAACACAAATACCTTATTTTACAAATTCAATTTAAAAAATAGTAAAATTTATATTGTATATTATAACTAGTTGACTTGTTCGTATATAATTTTAAATATTTCTTATATTGGCAACAGTGATTGGAGTAAAGACGCGCGCATTTCAACTTCACGTGACGTATTACGTCAATGCATTTTATTGGTTGTATAATTATCTTTTTGTGTATTCCTTGCCCATCCACTTCACGCTCCATTCATAGCAGGGACAAAAATTGAGTTTAGATCACTACCATTTGCTGGTGTACTATCAATTTTTTTGATTATCATAATCAGTGATCATTAAGTCACGTGAATTCAAAACTCTTAGTAAGTATAATTTGATTTAAATTTCTATTTGTAACCTTAATATTCTTCAGAAAAATCATAAATTCTTGAATTTTTAAAAACCCTAATTCTGTATACTTCTTACTCCAGTTCCCACCAGTCAACATGTCGATATCAAGATTTACTGGAATTGAATTGGGACCTCCCATTGAGGTTTTTGCCCTCCAAAAAGCTTTTACTGATGATCAGTTTGAAAATAAAGTTAGCCTTGCCATGGGTGGTAAGTAACTATGGTTCTATATTTAATTTCTTGAATAAAACATAAAAGGGATTAGAAAATACATTTTTGGAAATCAACTTATCATGATTGATATCCAAACCGAACACTTGTGAATTTTTTGTCAATCGTTTTGTCAGTGTGAGAAATAACAGATATTGTTGTTTATTCTAATAGCTTATTTAAAAATCGGTTTTTGATATCTATGATAGATATATTGATATAAACTATTTATTTTATAAAAATCCAAAGTAGAGATATAATATTTTTTCTATTAATAACATCTCAAAATAAAAATCTTCGATATTCCTATTTTCTTTTTTTGACATGTGACTTCGTTATCTTCCTTTTTTGAATTCTTATCTGAAACAAAAAAATTTGATAAATTTGAATAACAGAATTGACTTAAAAATAGATCTGTAATACATTGGAATTATTTGTAACTTTAATCAATTTTTTATTACGATAATAACTTATAACAACGATACTTATCTTAATGTTTTGATTTTTTCTTTTATTTAATATTCAAAGATACATGCAACCTCATCTCATTCGTATCATCCTACTGTTACATAATTAATCCCACATGTATCACATTTTATTCTGTGTATTGACTCCAATGTCACTTTCATTAGTTCTACACTTGTGGATTTTTTTTGAACAATTTAATGTAATTAGCATTTATTACTATCTATTAATCCACGAAGAATGTTTATGATTTTTTATTTAATTGTTTAGCTTACCGCACCAATGAAGGCAAGCCATGGGTTTTACCTGTGGTGAAAAAAGTGGAAAAGTCAATGGCTGCTGATGAATTACAAAATCACGAATATCTTCCAATCTTGGGTTTAGATGCTTTTAGCCAACATGCAACGTCGATGCTTTTAGGAAAAAATTCTCCAGCTGTTCTTCAAGGAAGAGCCTTTGGAATACAATCACTTTCAGGCACTGGTTCCTTACGTGTTGGAGCTGAGTTTCTGTCAAGAATTTTCCACTATGATACATTCTATTATAGTACACCTACATGGGGTAAGTCTTCGAAGAAACCAAAATATTTATAGACACTTTTGCTGTTAATAATAATTCTTATCTTTTTCCAAGCAATGTCATTGCTGAACTGATAAAATCATTTATTTTTTACATCGAAATATTTCATTCTTTTTTAGAAAATCATAAATTAGTATTTGCGAATGCTGGATTTAAAAAAGGATGTACGTATCGATACTGGAACCCAGAAACTCGTGGGGTAAATATTGAAGGCATGTTACAAGATTTAAGAGATGCACCGGAAAACTCTGTAATCATTCTCCATGCTTGTGCTCATAATCCCACTGGATGTGATCCTACTCCAGAAGAATGGGGAAAAATTGCCGACGTCATCGAACAGAAAAAACTCTTCACATTTTTTGATAGCGCTTATCAAGGCTTTGCAAGTGGAGATCCAGATCGTGATGGATTTGCCCCCCGACTCTTCGCAGAACGTGGAATGGAATTTTTCTGTGCTCAGAGTTTCGCTAAAAACTTTGGCCTCTATAATGAGCGTGTTGGCAATCTTGTTGTTGTTATGAACGATACGAAAGAAATTGCTCAGACTAAATCTCAATTGACATTAATTGTCAGGGGAATGTATAGCAATCCACCTAATCATGGAGCTAGAATTGTTGCAACTGTTTTAGGGAATGATGATTTGCATGAAGAATGGTACTAATCTTTTATTATTTTTTAAATAAATTTATTATGAAAATATTGTTTATTAATAATCTTCTTTTATAGGAAAGACCATATTCGTGTAATGTCAGAAAGAATTAAATTAATGCGAAAAGCTTTGTACGATAGACTTTTAAAATTAAGAACACCTGGCACTTGGGAACATATCATTCAACAAATAGGAATGTTTTCATACACTGGTATAACAGGTAATGAACTCATACATTTAATATTTACTCATTAAAAAAATTTTTCATTATTCACGTAATTTTATAATGTTACAGAGAGACAAGTTGAATATTTAAAGGACCATTATCATATCTACATGCCCCGTAGTGGTCGTATCAATATTTGCGCTTTGACTGACAAAAACATCGATTATGTGGCAAATGCCATCCATGACGCAGTCACACTATTTCCCGACCCAACAGGCAGTCCCATGTAAATCAGGTATTGATGTAAATACCCAATAAAATTACCGAAACGTAATAAATGAACAAAGCTAATATAAAAAAATAATTTTATTAAATGTGAAAAATTAACTGATCGCATATGATACGATTTGTAACATGAATATTAAATAGACAATGAATCAAATAGGCGTAAAAGAAGAGAACAATAATAACAGTAATAATTAAAACTATTTTAGAATTGATTGAATGTACATGGAAAATTCTAACTGTAATGGTAAAAGTAGAAGAATTACTTTGGCACAATATGTAAAGAGTTTTAAATAATATTGATGTGAATTAGTGATTAATGTATTAGAAAAATGGAAAGGCTTCATTTAGAGAAATTGAAGGTAGAAAAACAAATAAAAAGTACAAAGGTCCAATTATCGATGAAATATTAAAATGTGTGCACATGCTGTGATGCATTCCGTAATAAACAATCGCAATGATTGCGTTATTAATCATTATCTATTATGAATGCAAATTAATTTTATAGTTAAATTAACGTGCCAAAAAGGCGTAACATTTCATAGAGCTCGTGAGCTTGAAATTTCTTTTATTTAGGATAAAATGTCTGACCGAATAATTAATATCAATAAATTCAACATGAGCTTCTTAGAAATGATTGGATTGTAGAATACCGTTGTATAGATGCAAATAATTTATTAGCAAGAGCAATAAAATTATCAAAATTTCTTTTCAGTTTAATTGAAGCGTGTTTTTGGAGTTTATTCGATAAAATAGTTGACAGATTTATTCTGGCATGAATTTCGAGCAATATTACTAGACAAAATAAGTATAAATAAACTCGAATTAATTGTTTATTTACTTAAACAATCAAACAGAAAATATATAAATCAAGAACAAATACTGCCAGAGGGGTATTTGAACAATTTACAAGAGTAGATTATTGACTATTTCCAAAAAAATATTGATAATAATTAATTAATACATGAAATCAACGATAAAAGATACAAATGATTTATCTAAACGTATCAAAAATTTTCACAATAAAATAATTAAATATTGGAGTAAACGTATTAGTTGTAACATACGTTCAGACTGTTTGATCTTACGGATAAATTTTAAAATACTCTGACAATGGGAAGAAAGGTTTATATTTTATAAAATTCTACACTAATTAAAATATATTTACACTCGCAATAAAATGATTTATATCATTAAAAATTTTAAATAATTGATAAAATGAAAAAAATTCATTATGTGTTATTTTTGAAGTTGTTTTAAAGATAAAAAAAAATGTTAGTAGTTGCATTTCAGGCAAAATCAAGCATTTATGTATCGAATAATGAACTATCCTTGTGTAACTGATGTATAGACAATACTATAAAATAATTAATCGATAAAAGAACGAATTGTAATAATTGAAATATCTTATGCTCAGAGCAAAACCCTGTAATATATCAACGTATTGCTGTTTTGTGTTAACAATAAGAAAATAAATAGTTTAAAAAAATATTGTCTTTATTCTTCTATAACTCTAGCTAAAAATATCATTATATATTTTTTAATCTATGATATATATACAATGTTATTTAAATTAATAGTGACAATAAATACTTTATTATTATTTTTTATAACATTGAATGAAAAGTAATTTACTAAAGTCAAGAATTTAGATGAATCTCAAGTATCCCACTTGGATTGTTTTTTCTTGAATGTCTCTTTACCATCAGATTCAACAGCGGCATAATAGCCCATATCTTCATATTTTGATCTCATGTAAAAAATGTAAGCTGAGCAACCGATCATCGCAGTTAATCCTAAAGCCATCACCACTATATTCTGTAGAAAAATTCACTTTTATTTATAATAGCTTAACAATGTATTGAACATCGTTTTATCACAAACATTTAATCTCATCTTTTTGGAAAAGAAAAAATTAAATTGCTTAGTGCATGGTAAATTTGTTTAATAATTTGTTTAATTCAAGAGTACTTACAGGCCGTGCATATAATTCAAAATTTACTACTCGAAAGAACATAGTACTTTTTAGAGAACGTAAACCTGCTCCAGGTGCTGCTTTTTCTCCATTTCCTGGTTGGCTTGTCATTTTTGAATAACACTGTAACTAGTAAGAGTTTTATTCTTCAATTATATTGACAAATATATATATTGATGTCATCAATAAACAATGAGTTAATTATTAATAATCAATGAAATGTAATCATCTATTGTCATCACGCTTTCTTGTTACGAGGTTATGTGTTATGTTTACTATTTTTACCTTCGAAATTTATTGAAAAAATTCAAGTATTTTGAATAAAAAACTTTAAATCTTCATTAATAATTAAAATTAAACAATCGAATAAATAGCTTATACTAATTTTGTGTTTGTATTGAAGTTGTTAAATAGAACATCTAAGTTTTCTAAAATTTTTAAATGACTGTAGCTACACGAGTTAAAATACGATACTTACATTCATTTCATACTGTGAACATAAGGTCGTAGGTTCGAGCCTAGGTGGATGCCCGCTTAGTCTTTTGAACTATTTTTCAATTCAACATCCACAGACTAGCTCCCTGTTGGTGCTTTAATCACCAGCAGTGGCGTTCCCTAAACTGTGGAGATAAAATGCTTGTGCTTTCGCTATGTTCTATGGTCCCATCAATGGCTCTAGTAACACGCAGCCTCGCAACATTTTTATTTTATTATTCAATTAATTGAATCATCAAAATTCATTGATTTTTTTTTTGTTTTAATAATGATTTTTTGTAGGTCATCGTTTGTTGGCATTCTTAATATAATAAAAGGTTTATCTTTCTGAAAATTAGAAAACTATAGTGTCATGAATAAATTAATTTTTTCATATTAACAACAATTATGGAAAATAAAATAGAGCAAGCATTCAAATTATTATCTCAGGAAGCTAGAGGTTGTAATGGAATCGTATAAATGAATGATCAATAATTCTATTACGATTTTAATCTAAAAATATTTTCAGAATTGTATCTATCAGAGCATGTAGCAGAAATTGATGGATCAAAAGATAGTATCAAACCACTAGAATTCTATCGAAATTATGTGTCTCGCAATATTCCAGTTTTGATAAAAAAAGGAATATTAAGTTGGCCAGCAATAAAAAAATGGAATACCGAATATTTTCGAAAAGTTTTATCAAGTAAAATAGTCAATGTAGCAGTGACTCCCAATGGGTATGCAGATGCAATAGCCTCTAATCCTGAGGGAAAAGAATATTTTACAATGCCAGAAGAGCGTGAAATGAGAATGACTTCATTTTTAGATAAACTGGAAAGCTCAAGAGATTTAAATGAAATTTTTTATATTCAACAACAAAACTCAAATTTTGAACAATATTTTTATGAACTTTGGTCAGATGTCGATAAACTTCCTTGGGCAACGGAAGCATTTGGAAAGGATCCAGATGCTGTTAACTTCTGGATGGGAGATGAACGTGCAATCACATCAAGTAAATTTTATTTATTTCTTTATTCTTCTATTCATCTATTCACATGTTAAAATTAATCTTATCATCTATCTTAATAATTACAACTTATTAACATAAGCTTTTTGATTAAACAATTGATTGTAATTATATTTTATGTTTTAGTGCATAAAGATCCATATGAAAACATTTATTGTGTAATCTCTGGCAAAAAATATTTTACTTTACATCCACCAACAGATTTACCTTGGATTCCTTACAAAAAATATCCACCAGCCAATTATAAAAAGTGCGGTGATGACTGGATTATTGAACCAGTAATTCACGATAAAACAGTTGATTTATCGTCTAATTCAACAGATTATACTACTGAAGATTTAATACCTTGGATTTCTGTCGATCCTTTAACTCCAAATTACAATAGGTAAATCATTTATTTGAATATTTAATACCAAAAATACTTTATATTTTTTTCGAATAAAATATAATCATTTCGAAAAAGTTCCATCAAATAAAAGTGTTAAAATAATTTTTCACCAAATAATGAAATTTACAAAATAGTAATGCTGTTGATGTATAGCATCTATAACAAAATCATGTGTAACTATAAAACTTTTTGTCATATTATTTCGATAATTTTTTATTTATTTATTTATTTGAACTTCATTGTTCAAAGCTAAACTTTAGTGTTACCTATGACTAAATAAATACTATTTTATAAAATTTTGTCTTACATTTTAAAGTTTCAATACCATTTTTATCAAATTAAAAATCATTTGTTTCAGATATCCACAATATAAAAATGTGACACAATTAAACGTAACAGTAGAAGCAGGTGATATTTTATATCTCCCATCGTTATGGTTTCATCATGTTAAACAATCTCATGCATGCATAGCATTAAATTTTTGGTACGATATGGATTACGATATTAAGTATGCTTATTACAAATCTATTGAAATTTTGTGCCAATAAAAAGTCTTGTTGTCTATACATATTTATGTCTATTTATTTAGTCACTAATAGTCGTAACATGGTTATTATTAATCATTTTAATTGATAAAGCACACACACGTATGTGAATGTTTTGTATAATTTCCATTTATCTGAACATTTACGTTATGTAAATACTAATGTTTACGAGAACAATTAAATGTTCCATAATTGCTTGCAAAATTTATAATTATAAACCTGTAATTTCGACTTCAGAATATTTTCAGATATATTTATATAAGTCAAATTTCTTTTTGCTTTCAAAATAAAAGAAAATGTTATTGGTCTTTGAATCCTTATACCTCAAACATACAATAATTATTGAATATGATTATAACTAATTAATCATAATTTATGTATAAATTTCATTTTCTTATATCAAATGCATTACTCATATCTGTAACGCCAACTTGATGTATTTTGTGATCGATTATGATCACGAGAATGACCACGTTCCTGACGATAATTACGAGAATATGTAAAATTATCATCTGACGAGTGATAAACTGATTCTCAGGCTAAATCATCATCCGGATCACTATTCATAGCACTTCGCCATGAACGTTTAGGATATCCAGGTCCATGTTGGGTTTCATACATTTTTCGATTTTCAAGATAACGTTTGTAGTTATTTTCACGTTTTCGTCGCTGTTCTTCAGCTTGTTGTCGTAATTTTTCTGGATTCATATGAGATGTAACCATGTGTCGAGTAAGTGAACTCATAAATTTGTATGTAATTCCGCATACATCACACGATAGAATCTCTTGGTTTTGTCCTTGCTGTAAAATAAAATATTCCAAATTGAGTACTGTAATTTTAAAGTAAATCATTTCAATTTATTTCTTCGTTAATAAATTGATTAATCAATCAAAATTATGTAAAACTAAATTTGTACGTCACAAATCATAGTTGGATAAAACTGTTTTATCATTTTTATCTGTACTATTTGGACGTGTGCAATGTTTTTATCATCATTTACTACAAAAAATATATTAATTTTGTTATCTCCATATCTCTAAGCTTAATAATTCGTCAATATTTAGATACTTTTAATGCTCCATTCATAATTTTTTATCTTAAAAGGTTTATTATACTGAAAATTATATAGATTCGCATATTTAATAAATTCCATTGTTAACAAATAAACCTTATGCGACTCTCATCAATTTGTCAAAAAACTTAACTATAATATTAATTAAAATTTAAAAAAATAGTAAAAAAACCACTCACTTTAGATTCTTCACGTACCTGTTGGTGCACTAACATATGACGCTGTAAATTATTCAGTCGATTAAATTCTCTTCCACAAACTTCACAATCAAATTTCTTATCAGGATCATGATTCTTCTTGTGCACCATTAAATCAGTAGAGGTTGAGAATAATTTATGACAAATGTCACATGTATGTCCACGCTGTTGTTCTCCAGCTAAATGAGATTCCTCGTGTTTTTGAAGTGCAGGTTTATCAACAAACCGTCGACCACAGTAAATACAAGGTAAAGGTTTAGATTCAGGATTATGAAGACTCATGTGACGACGTAAGGCAGGAGCAGTTGGGAAAGTTTCTTGACACTCCAAACATTGGAATGGTCTATCTCCTGTATGGGTTTTCCTGTGTCTAGCTAGTGTATTTTGATCAGGGAATCTTTTCGGACATAGATCACAAGGGAAATTACGCGTCGTTATATCTTCTTCTCGAGCGTGTTTTAATCGATTGTGTCTAAGTAATTGGAACTGGGTTTTGAAACTCTTTTGACAAATTTCACACTTCAATGCATCTGTTGTTGGAATAATTACTTGAGTTCTCTTTAATCCGTTTTCATCTTCGGAGATAATTAGAGAAATCGTTACTGTGTTATCTTCATTGTCATTGTCATTATTGGTTGGACTTGATGTCGATGATCCCTATAATTATGAGTAAAATTATTATTTTTTTGAAAACATTAACTTTAATAACAACAAAGAAAAATTGACGATCGTGTCTTATTACCTGTCTTATATGGTCGTTTTCTATATGTGGCGTAATAATAGCAGCTTCTTGTGTTTTTTGTTGAACTCTCATTTCATGAGTGTCTTGTTCATCACTCACAGGTTCAGCAATAGCATAATTTCCGTCTTCCGTGAAATAAACTGGTTGCATAACACCATTTTCATCTTTAAAATAAAGTTGACCATTTTCGTCTTCATGTAAAAATATTTGTTCCTAAACGAATACAAAAAATAAATTAATAATTTTAACTCTATTACTTAAAATAATAAATCTATCTATTCATCAACTAATTAATTATTACCTGATCATTATCATCTTCCTGTCCTTGTTCTTCAGCCTGTCCTTCCCATTGTTCTTGTTCTACAATTTGTTCTTGATCTTCTTGTTCGAGAGCTTGTTCCTCATATTGATATTCCTCTCCATCATTTACTGCATGAGCAACATAAATATTACCCATTTCATCTCCTTCATAATAAATCGTTCCTTCTTCTTCACCTAAATTTTCTTCTAGTCTCTCCATCTATTAGAAAAATTTCGATTAATTTTTTATCATCATATTTAAAACTACAATAAAATAACTAATAATATTTACTTTAATATATCGTGGATCTTCCTGATGCTTTGAAGATTCATTCTGTTTTTTAGATCCTAAAACCGTGTACACTAAATCATTTTCAACATTCTTGACAATTTCATGAGGACTATCCTCTTCTTGTCTAATTCCTTTTGCTTTACTTGAACTTGATTTATTTCCATTCATTGTAATTTGCTTGTCATTATTTGTAATAACTTGATTGGCAGAAGCTGATTTTATTTCTAAAGGATCAGTTTCTTCAAGCGTCCAATCATCATCTGCATCATAAGAAAATATTCTTTGACTGTTGGTACTTCTATCACTGTCAAGACGTGGTTTTTTAGATCTGTGAGCGACTTTTTCATTCTGATCATCAACAGATTCACCATCAGTAGTTTCTGCTGCTGATACTGTTTTGGATTGTTCTACAACTTCCTCAGTTTCTTCCTCGCTTTCTACAACTTCAATTTCTTCAATTATTTCAACTATTTCTTCTTCCTCTTGAATATCATCTGACTCTTGAATCTCTACTCCTTCTTCAGTATACATTATTTCCTCCATAACACCATCTTTTGATTCTAAAATAGCTTTCAATTCTTCCACTTCCATTGTCGTCGTTTTCGCACCAGTTTTGCTGGCCATTATTTGATAACGTAATCTTGAAATTTATATATTTTGGATGCTGTTTATGAAATTATAATTAATTTAATTTACATATTCAATATACATAAATAAAATTTAGTTCGAAACAACTAAAGTAAACTAAGTTTTCCCTCTAATAAAACGTTTATAATAATTTGAAATATAAACAATTGTATAGATAGGGGTTATTGTCAGGACATTCGATTAAATGTTATGCTTGAGCTTTTGATTTTAACATTTTGTGCAATTGACAGAAATATTAGAAGTGAACTCATGATTAAAATGAAAAAACATTCAATTATAAATCATAAAAAAAGCAAATAGTTGCTCCAGTAATGGAAAAAAGGTTAAAGTATGGCAACAGAGGACAGCAAGTATTGGACAAATGGCCAGTAGAGAGCACATAGGATGGGTGATGCGTAATGCAAGGCCGAGACTAATGGAAACATGCATTATTTAATTATTATTTTTGTTTATATTATAAGCTTCAGTATTTGTTAAATAAATAATATGGAAAGAAGTTTATTTCAATTGAAATTTGTCTTAGAACGCGGCTCACCAGTCGGTACGGCTCAGGCATGCATTTATCAACGGACAGCAAAATGGCTACGATTACACGACATCGTTGTGTTGTATGTGATTAACCTATTTGATGGACTATTTAGGGCCATGCTGATCTTAATTATTATTTTACATACCTGTTAAGTAGTATTATGTATATAATTAACACGTAGAATCTCGCAATTACTGTTTAAAAATAATTTTGTACTCGGTCGATACGCGTCCAGTTTCCCCACTAATCGAGTGACGCCACCATAATTGAAGAGAAATGTTTATCGATGGCCGCTTCAGAAAAATCCCTATATTGTATATACCAACTCACAAATTCTCTCCAATCACAAACTTCGTCTTCTAGGGTAGTTGAAAATTATTATAGGGAATTTCAGCATAGGTGGCGTCGTTGTTGAACGTTCCCGCCCGTTTTTCTCTTCAACATTTTTTTGTTGGTCTTCCTGCATTATTATTATAACATAACCATAAACAATAGCTGTCAAAACGTGCGCATATTGATAAATCATTCATTTTAATGTAAAGAAAATGTGGTGGTTGTTTATAGCTTCGCTTATTTCAACAATTGATTTTGCTAAAGCATCAGATGGATTTGACTTTGGAGATACTCTAGCTTTAATTCTAGGATTGATCATTGGAATCATTGGATTTTTTGCTTGTATGGGAGCTTACGCACGACGTAGAGCTCAATTTGAAGCAATCTAAGAGCTAGACTGACCATTTAAAAATTATTTATCATATCTATTATTATTAAATATATATATATATGCACATATATATATTTATGGTAAGATATTTACCTGATTATACTAAAATATGTTTACTAAATGCTATTTTGTTTATAAAAACATTTGTACTTCATAAGATAACATCGGCATTCAACTATTATTAATTTAAGATTCTATATTTATTAAGAAATTATTTTTGATATAATTAAATATATTTCAGGGTATTTTTATAAACAAAACAATAAATAGGAATATAACTGAATTTTCTACGTTGTCAATTGTTGAATAATGCATTATATAATTCAACTACTGATATATTGTTAATTAATAATATAATCATTCATAACTGTTAATATGAATATTATAATGAAACATAAAATAAAGAGGTATTTTTATTTTTATTAATCTTATTTGATTTTCTTTTACAATGAGTTCCTGGTTGGCGTAGACTGACGTGCGAATGTGTAATTTTAGTTGTTTAATTGAATTAATTTAACTGTTGATTTAATTGAATTTTATGTATGTCTTTGACTGAGCGACTACTTAAACGAATTTCGGAATAATAATTTTTCTTCGAAGAAATATATAAAGCAGTCCAGCTGCATGACAACTGGCAAGACTTTTAATATCATTATTTTGATGCTATTCGTATCATAATACCTAAATAAATTTTACGTTATGATTTATAATTAGTGTTATATTAGTTTCGTGTGTTCCAAATGAAGCTGATACTTGCGCAGAATTTTTTCTTGTAATCAGTTTTCATTTTTGTCTTAATTATTATCACTTACTGCGCATTTTTTCAATAATATTTTTTTTTCTTTTTTTTCATATTGAATTTATCAATAAGTCATTACAGATTTCTCAAAATTCATTTAGAGTACTTTCCAATTTATTCTGAGCTTTCTAAAAAAATATAGTAATAATAATACTTAATTGAGTGTCTTTTTTTGTTTAGCTGCAGTAAATATTGATCAATAAATACCCCTGAAAAAATTAGTTGCAAGGACTTATTGATAGATTTAATAATTTATAAAATTTCCATAAACATATATTAATTAACTTTATATTGATTTAATATCGATTATTTTTCTTTTATGCAAGAATCAAACTTCTATTTAAATAATTAAGATATAAATCGAATAGAAGCTGGAAGAAAAATGTTTATCAGAGATTAAAATAAAAATATCCGTCCACAAAGTTGCATCACGCCAAATCTAATTTATTCCATTCATTTCAAGATTATTAAATTTAAATTTAGCTCTCAATTTTGTCTTGAAAGTAATTATATCATTTCTCAATTTTTATAATATATCATATCTTTCATGTTTTTATAGCACATTAGAAAAATCCTTTTAAATACCAAAAATAACAATAATTGTATAATAATTTAAGCATTTAAATTAGTCTATTTAAAATATTTCTTTTTAGAGAAGAACATTTTAACGCTTAAAATTAACGAATTAAATTTAATTAAAAATGGGGAGACAGAAATAAAAATAATAAGAAATAGGCGAACATTACATCCATTTTCAGAAAGCCTTAGAAACGTAATCAATAATCAATATTAATTTTCGTTTTCACGACTCACATTGTTCCATTCCGTTCATCACTGATTTTAGTTTGTTATCTAATCAGTCTTTATGAATTCTCTCGAAATCTTGTCATTAAAAACAGACTTCTCTGGATTACTTGATTCGGTACAACATTCCATTGTCGAAGTATCAAGAACTCTAATTCAAGTTTTTTCATTTTTTGTCTTAAAATTAATTCTCACATAATATTCAATCTCGTACACACTTCAATAGAAACAATGCATAACTTTTTTTCATTCTGTATATTCTCTCTCTCTTTCTCTCTTATTCTTACACTCTCATTTTATTTATATCATTTTCTCTCGCATGCTTTCATACAATTTGCATTTAATTATCAGTTATTACTAGCAGTCGCTCGAATTTTTCGGTGTCAAACTTTTACTGATGCTTCTTCATTTATCTTAATCTAAACTATACTGTTGCAATTACTGTACAATTTTTTTTAATAAATTTACTGCGGCACAAACAGTTTTATGGGACTAAAAAAAACATTAAATTACAATTCAACAAAATAATTGCCAATTATTTGTAAAATAATTATAATAAAATTTACTCCTTAAAACTCACTCGTATTTAAAAATTTTGAATAAAAATAAATCATTTCGGTTTTTATAGCCCGGCGTTGATTTTATTCCTTTAATTGAATTTTCTTAATTTGCTTTCCCAACTCATACAATTCATTCTCTCAATTCATAATACAATCCTTTTTCCAACATATTCGAGTTCAGTTCCTGTATATTTATAATAAGTAAAATATTTTATCTATTAATTATACAATGAAAAGTTTAAAAAACGATCTTTTACATAAAAAATTGAATTAAGCGCCAAAAATGATGAAATTCCATAAGAACGTGGCATGTAATTTTTGCATAGGAATATACTTTTATAAATGAACAATGGTGCAAGACAGTAAAGCTCGATAACTCAAGAATAATTATAATAAAAAGATAATCAAGTCAGTATGATTAAAAAAAAAGAAAAAAAACAATGATAGCATTTAGTGACGATGCAATGAGAAATATTTAACTAGTAACACAATATTGTTTTCTTTAATTCGAATAGTTAGAATTGCTAAAAATACATTAAAGCATAACAGTGACTATAATAATCATTCTCACACTTTAAATTTCACGTCCATTTTTTTTTATTTATTCTCACTTTTATCTTTTGCCACTTATTTATCTTGCTCGTAAATATTTTTTCTCTTATCGTTCAGACGTTCCCGATATTCATTAACAGTTTATAAATAAATATCGAGTTGAAATGGCCTTTTGCCATAATTCAATCATAAAGACTAGCTGAGGCCTGCACAAATATCGAGCATTAGTATTGCTCAACCTAAAAGAAGCATTGTAAAATGTGTAAAGTTGTTTTTCACTTTTTTTCTATTTTTTGTCATTTTACTTCTGCTTATTTCTTACGTCAATTTGCTCACAATTACGTAGACGCCAAAATGTTGGCAAACGTATACGAGCCAATATTAATATATTTTCCTTAAACCTTGCTTAATTTACTCTATTTGTTATTAAACGCACGCGTGCGGCCAGCACCGCGACAAGCAGCAAGCGTTTCTGGCACGTTGAGGAATACATTGATATCGAAACAAATAAAATCATTGACGGACAAATATTATCCATAAACATCACTAGATAATGTCTCCTTATAGGCAGAATTCATTAAAAATATATATGTATATATAAATTCAACAGTCCTTCGTTATAATACAAGTTTTAAAATGTATTTTTTTCTTATTTTTATTACTTTCTAATGAGAATTAAAAGATCAGAAATCAGTATTATAACGATAAACTATTGGACATATATCACAAATAAAAGGATCCACTAATAAATAATGACAAATCACTCGACTTTGATAGATAAAAAGTGTTACTGCTCTAATTGGGAAGTGCTGGATTGTGGATGATCATGTTGAGGTTCACCAGGAGGAGTACCATCATGGGAATTACCCACGTGAGGTGTAGCAGGAGTGGCTGGTTGAGATTGTGGTGTCCCAGTTGGTGCATAAACGAGACGGTAGCCAGCAGGAAGAAAGAATCCACCATGAGGTGTATAGCTAAATGCCTGGAAGTTGGCTAAGGCTGCTGCATCATGGTAATGAACATAACCAGTAGCACCACCAGCTGCTGGAATTGGTGTTGATGCTACTAAAGATCCACCAGATGCAGGTGCTATACTTGTGCCATCAGAAAGAATCGGTGTAAATTGGTATTGAGGATGACTTGTAACTGTAGTTGGTCCATTTGTGGATCCAATCACTTCTGCACCTTCCAAAGAGTAACTAGAAACATTTTGAACATTTTCCGCTGGCGGCATTACTGGAATTGGGATGACGTAGGCATGAGGAATACTTGTTGACTGCTGAGGAGCTTGCTTCAACTTTTGTGTTGCCAGACGTAAAGTTTCTTCAGTATCTGGTGAATAATTTGATATTCGACGGAAAGATGTTTGCGGGGCTGTACTGAACATCAGGTAATCCTCTACGGCCAGAGGTCGTGATGGTCCTAAGCATAATAAAATACATATATTTATTAGAGATTTTTCTAGATAGTGTTTAGGATAAAATAAGAAGTTAGGAAGAATGTGAAGTAGATAAAAGCAAATATGTTTACCTTTACTATGCAAGATATAATGTTTACCTGTAACAGTCGATGCTACAGTATGATAAAGCAAAGGATGGTGCTGATGTTGGTGCAAAGCACTTGCTTGCTGTTGTTGTTGTATTAACAGCTGCAACTGATGCTGTTGGAAACGCTCTAATTCTTCCCTATGTCTTTTTTGTAATGTTTCTAACTCCATTGTTTGTCTAATCATTAATAAAATATAATTAGTATTAATATCAAATATTTTCATATCAATTAATCATCATTAAAGTAATACTGAAGTAATAAAAAATAACATGTTTTTCATACCTTTTAATCAACAACTGATACTCTTCGCTTGGTGTCAATGTTTGTATCCGCTCCTCTTTTTCAATCTAAACAAAAAGTACAAGTTCATTAGTTGAATCATAAATGTTTAATGAATAAATTAAAAAAATTTTATTCCAATTTATTTACTTCGTTTACAGATAATCCTACCACAGAAGATGAAACCGGTGGCAAAGAATTCTCTCGATTGAGTGATACTTGCGCTGGTGGATCTGTTTAATAATTTGATTATTTTAGTAAATATTTTTTATCATAAAAAAATTTAATATGTATAAAATAATAATTTTTATAAAGGAAATATAATAATTGAAAAAAATAAATCAATATTTACTCTGAAATTCATCCGGATGATGATTAACATGGCTAACACGATCTCCTCGGCCATCATCTTGGACTTGCATTTGTTTTTGCTGCTCAACTTGTTGATTCTGTACCGAAACGTCATTACCAGGTGGTCCTGTTACTTTAGAAACCATAAATCGAGAAATTTTTCTCACCGGTTGTGAAGGAGTCCTTGCTTCATCTTGTTCAGTTGGCACAGGTGTTTCAGTACCAGAATTATTCATTAAATTAATTGGGGTATTTGACCCAGTAGGAATTCCAACTGGAGTTAAAAGTGTTTGAGGAGTCGAATGTACTGGAAGTTGATGAGTAGTCGTTGGTTGCGTCACTTGTGATGGCATTGGTGGCGTTAGCGGTTGTGGAGACGATGTAGGGAAAACTGGTATTCGTTGATGAATTTTAGCTAACTCGTGCTCTAATTCTTGAAGTCTCGATCCAGGTCTTTGAGTGCGAGATTTGACATTTTCTTTGCTGGGGCTCATTGTTTCCGTTCCTGTTAGAACAACTGGCGTAGGACTATCAAGAGTATTTTCTGCATTAAGTTGAATTGGGTGTTGTAGTTGTTCACTTGAATTACTGTCAAAAACATTGGGATCAACATAAATAGTTCCAGGTGGGTGAACTGTTGTCTGAGGAGAAAGATATCCGAGCGATTGGACGGAAGTTATTGACGCATTGACTATTTTTTGCTGGAGAGAATGGCCGGAAATGTCATGCCCCATATTACTAGAAGGTCCATGAGGCGTTGCTGGATGGCTGATGGGAGGAGTACCAATATTAATCGGTTCAGAAGGCTGGCTGGTAAGTTGAACAAGCTTCTGATGCAGATCAGCAATTGTCTGAGGTCCACAACTGGTCCCTACAATTTCTGTAGGTTTGTCTAATGAATTTTGCTGACTGAGTTTATGATGCTGTTGTATTAATTGATGGTGTGCAGACATCACAGGATCATTTGACTCCACAATAGTATGCTCCGGAGTGATTTCATGGCTGGAATTTTCATATTCTGATATTGTTTGATAATCCGAACTAGTCCTCCTGCTTACACTCCCATCGATAGTACTTTCAGTCTCTAAATGCTTAGAAGTTTGTTGTTGCTGTTGGAGCTGTTGTTGTAGATATTGTTGATCAATAGATCCTTGACTGTCTACTTGCTCCTGGACTTGAGATTGTTGAGATACAGTCTGAGGAATATTTTGCATTGGTTGAACACACTGAACAGACACAGATTGTTGATTAATATTCTGATTAGAATATGTAGGCATAGACCACTGACTTTGAACAGCGACATTTTGGACGTGTCCTTGAATAGTCTGAGAAATTATTTGTCCTTGGGAATCTATTTGTTGTCCCATATGCTGAACAGGTTGGAGAAGAGATTGTTGAACTTGAATATTACCAGTCTGTTGTTGTTGTTGCTGTGGTTGTTGATGAGTATGATAAAATTGTTGTTGAATTTCTGCCTGATTTTGTACTTGAGAAATCATTTGCTGTTGTCCAGGATAATTTTGAGGCTGGACAAAATTGGTCGATTGTATTTGAGGAGCTTCTGGTTGAATTGGTTGGAAATACTGTTCTGAATGAAGCACCGGCATGGTTTGTTGTTGATTAGTAACAGAAGATGATTGATCATGAGAAATAATAGCATGTGGAGTATTTGATTTAGATTTCGGATTCGAAAGAATATTTGCAAGATTTTGAGCTAAATCAGGTAAAGTTGAAGAGACTTCCTTTGTTTTAATTTTTGGAGTGACCTCAACAGGTGGTGGAGGTAACTGAACAGACATCACAGGCGGCGTATTAATATTTTGGTGAACAACATTTTGATGTTGATGTTCTGAAGGTGTTTGTTGCATCTGATCAGTTTGAATATAATTTATTTGAGGTGGATTAGAAATTTCAGACACTTGAGAATCAGTTGACACACTAGATGCTCTTCTCAGCCAATCATCAATATTATTTTGTTGAGTTTGAGATAAAGGTTGGATGATAACATAAGGATGAGAAGGCGTCTGTTGTTGTTGCTGTTGCTGTTGTTGCTGCTGCTGCTGCTGCTGTTGTTGTTGTTGTTGTTTTTGCATCTGCTGTGATTGAGAAGGAGATTGTTGAATGTACTGCTGTTGAACCTGATTAGTTGTCTGGCCCATAGCAATCTGATCATGTTGGATATGTTGTTGAATTATATTTTGTTGCTGAACACCAATTTGTTGTTGATGTTGTTGTTGAATAATCGATTGTTTCTGAAGAGTTACTTGAGCCTGGTATTGTGCCATAGATTGTACTTCTTGTTGTTGAACTCCAGCATTTTGTTGAAATTGGAAATTTTGATTCATCTGTTGGTTAGATGGTTGAACAAGATTAGATGTTTGGACAACAACTACAGTTTCTTGTTTAGTTTGTGTAATTAATGATGCTGGTGGCAATTGATTAATCATTTGTTGATTTTGCATATTTATTTGCATTGCATTAACATTTTGCATTCCTTGAGGTTGAGCCTGGAACTGTTGATTTGATGTTTGAATTTGTTCCTGATGCATAACTTCAACATTGTTAGCAGAAATACTTGACTCTCGCACTACTGTTTCATACTTGGGCGCATTTAAGTCTAAAATCTGTGCAGGAATTTGCTGTGGTGGCATCAAAGACGTATTATCCGGTGGAACAGTGACGGAAATTGTTTCAGTTTCACCAGTAATCGATTTTTGTTCAACCACAGGACTCACTAGGAAACGAGAAATTTTTCTAGTTGGAACAACCTTTGGTTTTGATGTTTCAGTATAATTTTCTTGTGATTCTTTACTTCCTCCTTGAGATTCAATAGATTCTTGTGGTCGAGTTGCGCAAGATATTTCAGTAGAATCGTCTTCTACTTTATGATTAATAAAATTGCTGTCTTGCTGAATATTCACAGAATCTACAGAATTTAACTTGATTGTGTTTTCTGCTGAATCATCAAGACTTGTATTATTAGATTCTAGAAGAGTATCTTCGGATGCAACACTCTCAGAATTGTCATTTAAATCATTCAAAACATTTACTGGTGTTAGAGTATCAGTGTTTTGTGTTGACGTTGATGATCTTCGGGATATTTCGTCAGATATACTATTTTCCGCTGTTGTTTGACTCTCCAATGATTGGTTATTTTGTGCAATTTTATTTTCCGTAGGCGTCGTAGCTATTTGGTTTATTATTTGATCTATCGGAAGTAGCTTTGATGTTGCAGACGCATTCGATGTTTCGTCTCTCTATAAATAAAAAATAAAAATATTTATCAACATATGTAATAATATAAAGTTTATTTCAAAATATATTGATAAACTCTGAAACTTTATTTTCATTAATATTAATCAATTATTACGAATTATTATCAGTAAAACATAAAACTACACACAAAATAAAATTCAATATCACAGAAATTGTGAAGAGACAACATAAAAAATGCGATAAAATCCTGTAAAAAAATTTATCAACTTCTATTCACTATTTTTTCTTTTGAATAGATCAAAGGGAAATAATAAATCCTATTTTATATGATTGATTGGACTTTCTAATTAAAACAAACAATTCGATACGATGATCTGCACACTGTGTATTAAGCTTCAAAATTGAAATGAAAATAAAACGATAAAATACAATGAAGAATAAAAGATAGAGGCAATGAACGCAGTAAAAATGCAGGCATGAACATAAAAGGCAGATAAAAAATATTCACAAAATTGGATAAATATGGATTCGAAGAGGTGTAGAACTCACCGAGCGATGCCTACGATGGGCTTTGTAGGAAGATCGATGGCTGCTTTGACGAGTTAGCGAGCCGTGTCTCACCTGCTGCGTCCAAAATGATACACACATACGCTCGATTATATGCACGAAATAAGAAAATTGTTCAACTTCAAGATTCCGTTGGATTTATTCATATTTTATTATTTAAATATTTATTTTATGTTTCTTTATCTGTCAATCATGTTGATGTTTTTTAAATTATATAAGCTACCTTTTTGAAATATTATATGAATATCAACTACTTATTCCCCAAGCAATTTTGATTGTAAAACAAATGGATATCTCTCATATTTCTTATCATGAGCTACATAAAAAGCTTCTTCTTTTAATGCTATGTTATTTGATACGGAATAAAAAATTTCGTGTCTCTGAATAACTTAATATTAAATTCCCTCAAAAATAATAGAACATTGAACCTAAAAATAGTTTTCCAACCAACGGAACCTCAATAATCAAAGTTTAAAGTCTTGCCCTTTACACAAGAATTACAAAAGCATTTTTGATAACAAAACATTCAATAAGCCTGTTTTGCATTTTCAAGAAGAAAACAAAAAGAAACAAAAAAAATCATAACAAAAAGTTGAATAAAAGAATCATCGTATAATTAACAAAAGACCATGTTTATGACTAAAAACATTTAGTTTTTTACAATTAATTACCTTAGATGCATCGAGACTGTGATCACGATTTCTTGGTCTACGACTTGTGACAGGACTCCCGCCAGCTGATTGATCAGCTGGACCATGAGCGACTAGAGGAAGGCTACGAGTTGGATCCAGTTTCAGTTGTTTCACGATATCTTCGATCAATTCCACGAAAGTAGCACATTGAGACTGTGGTAAAAGATTTTCTGCCACAAGATTATTAGCAATATCTTGGGGAACCATGTCATTTCGATCGAATTTAAAGGTCACAGTCTTCTGTTTGCTGGTGTCTAATTGACACTCGACAGTCATGGATTGATCATCACGATTAGTAACTGATAAAACTGTTAATTTAATTCCAGGCTTCCTACGTTTAGTTCCTGACCTTTTAACTCGGCTTTTTTCCGGTACTGGAACTCCTTCAGAATTTTCCGATGTCACTCCATCATTAGAGCTTGGAGTACATGAAGATCCAACAGCCTGTGGTGTTATTGATAGCTCTTGTTGAAGACTGGCTGATAAATCAGAAGTCATTGTAAAAGATTCAACTGTATCTTGTTTCATTAAAGCATTTCTGTCAATATTATTCACAGATTCCATGGCAATGGCATTGACCATTTCTGGTTGCTGTTGAATATTATTTGTTTGACTGATAACATTCGTGCCTTGAATAATGTTCATACTGACAGGAATATTATTCACATTATGAATATACTGCATCTGTGCCATCATATGTTGTTGAGTATGCAAAGTTTGCGTATTCTGAACATTATTACAAGGTGCAGTCTGTATATGTTGAACATTTTGAATGGCTGATGCCGCTTGAAGATTCACAGCTGACTGAATAGACACTTGAGGTTGGCCTTGAGCTGATACATAGGCTTGTGATGTTGGAGCCACGACATTAGCATGCGAGTAAATTGCTTGATTATGTCCTTGATTCAAGATTTCAACACTCCCCGGTGCACTTGAATTAGTAGGATAAGCATGATAGACTTGCTGTTGAATATTTTGCTGATATAACGTAGCATTTGTAAATGATGCATTTGCAGTTCCTTGTTGATAATATTGTTGAACATTTTGTTGCATTTGCATTGGTTGATTCAACGTATTTTGATGCATTTGCTGTAATTGCTGCTGCATCTGAGCTTGAGCATACTGGATGTGCGTTTGGCCCTGTTGAATAACCTGTTGTTGTGGTTGGTTCATTTGCATGGATGGTTGCATTTGTTGCACTTGATTAGGTAATGACATTTGTTGTGGTACCTGCATCTGATTCAACTGAATGTATTGCTGCGGTTGCTGAGGTTGTTGCAGCATTTGTGATGGCTGTTGTTGAATTTGTGTCGACATTTGAGCCGGTTGTTGTTGTATCTGTTGTTGCTGAGCTTGAGGTTGCATCTGAGTATGTTGTTGAATCTGTGGTTGTGGTTGAATTTGTGACTGTTGCTGTTGTTGAATTTGTTGTTGCTGTTGAATTTGGGGCGATTGTTGAATTTGTTGCTGTTGTATTTGTGATTGTTGCTGCATTGGAGTTTGTTGAATCTGTGGTTGCTGCTGCATTTGAGTTTGTTGAATTTGTTGCTGTTGTTGCTGTATCTGTGGTTGTTGTTGAATTTGTTGCTGCTGCTGAATCTGTTGCTGTATTTGTGGTTGTTGTTGAATTTGTTGCTGTTGTTGAATCTGTTGTTGCTGTATCTGTGGTTGTTGTTGAATTTGTTGTTGTTGGATCTGTGGTTGTTGAATTTGTTGTTGTTGGATCTGTGGTTGTTGAATTTGTTGTTGATGTTGAATCTGTGGCTGTTGTTGAATTTGAGATTGCATCTGAGGAGACGATTGTTGAATTTGAGTTTGTATTTGGGCATGTTGTTGTGGAATTTGTGTTTGCTGCATCTGTGGTTGCATCTGAGGTTGTTGCACTTGCTGCTGTTGAATTTGAACTGATTGTGTCTGAACTTGTTGTTGAGACATATGTTGAGGTATCTGAGGAAACTGTGGTGGACCTTGAATAGCCTGAGGAGTCGAGCATTGTGAAGAATTGGCACTTAAAGTTTGCGCTATATGTTGCGAATATTGGGGAGGTTGTGATTGAACTTGTGGTTGATACGTCTGCTGTTGGGGATGTTGAATTTGTTGATACGATTGCTGCTGAGATGGTTGTTGATACTGGACTTGTTGAGTATTTTGAGAGACTTGGGGAATCTGTTGAGCTTGTTGAGGCTGAACGACAGAAGTTTGTTGTTGCTGCATCATGGGTTGTTGCTGAATTATTTGAACCTGTTGCGGCTGCAAGCATGGCTGTTGTTGCTGTTGATTCTGCAGAATCTGTTGAGGTTGTTGTTGCTGTTGATTCTGCATAATCTGTTGAGGTTGTTGTTGCATCTGTGGCTGCTGTTGTTGTTGCTGCATTGTCATTTGCTGCTGTTGCATTGGCATGGGTTGTTGCAACGGTACTTGCCCTTGCATCTGCAAGTTTAAGTTTTGTTGTTGAATTTGTTGCTGTTGCTGCTGTATTTGAGCCTGCTGTATTAATAACTGTTGCTGTTGTTGTTGCAATAAACTTTCTGCTGCAGAATCAGCTTCTCTATCCAGTCGTTCTTTCTCCTCCTTAACTCTTCGCTCTTCTCGATCTCGTAACAATAATGCTATTTGTGATTTCAACATTTTAGTCACTGCTTTTACGTCTTCTTCAAGAATTAAACTTGATTTTGCCATCTCTGTGGCAACCTCCTCAGCATTGTCATGTTGTATGTCAAAGTCAAACTGAATCGCTTCATTTTCTTTATGTTTATGTGTACGCTTCTTCGGGTCAAGAACGCGTAATCTAAACTCCACTCGCGATAAATCGGCATCAGCAACTGCACTATCACGTGATACCATTTCCAATTTTAAACCTATATCATCCGCAAAAAATTCATGATTCAATAAATCCTTTACTAAAGGTCTTTCGTCTTTCTTTAAACGTATACACATCTCTATAATCTCACGTACTTCTGGATTTTCCACTTTATCATAACTTAACGGTTTAACACCTGATACAACTCGTTTATAAATTTGTGCCGGTCCAGTGCACTCTGAGTATGGATATTCACTCGTAGCCATTTCAAGCATACACATTCCAAATGCATAAACATCGACAGATTCATCATAATGTTCTTCATACATTTCCGGTGCCATAAACTCTGGCGTACCAATTACACTCTTAGCAAAACTACGGTTTTTCAAGGTTGCTAGGCCAAGATCACCAATTTTAACACTTCCGGTAGTGCCAGTAATAAAAATATTATCACACTTCAAGTCTCTATGTATAATGGGTGGAGACCGCGAATGTAAGAAACTTAGACCTTTCAAGATCTGTCGACACCAAGATTTAACAACCTTTGGATTAATTTTTTTGAATCGTCTCAAGTATCTGAAAATTAAAAAAATTAAAAATTAGTTATATACATTTATACGTGGATAAATAAGAGTTAAAAATAATATTCAATAATTTTAAATATTCTTAAACAGACGTCATTATTAAAAGGATCTTCTTGCATTCCTAACTGTCTCTAAATATACCCGTTTTTTTTTTGTTTAGCTTCATAATTATGCATCAAGAGTATTTTAAAATACCGCTGTAAAAGGAGTCCTTAAAAATACTCCTTGCATACGTTATTATCCTGACGCATTTCCAAATCATTGTTCGCAACAATAAATTCTTTTTTTTAACTCTTCATTTAAAATATTTAAACAATTCTATTGAAGTTGTTCTAGATATTTGAATTACAATTATTATCATTAATCAGCTTATTAATTTAATAACTGGATTATTTATTTTTAGAAAAACATTCACGTTTGTCTCATACTTGTATAAATAAATAAGTGATCGTATTGAAGAGACACAAATAAATAATATTATAAAAGTATTTTCCAATTATTCTTCGATTTATAAATAAAAATCTGTATATCTTCCGATAAGAAAATAAACATCAATTGTAAATAGAATAATGATTTTTCTAAAGAATTCTCTTTGCCTTCATAATTCAATTTTATCGCAATATCTTTCCTATAATAATTACTAATAAAGCTTCATTTTAAAAAATATTTATCTTAAAGAAGAAAAGAAATAAAAACGTACGTTTTTAATGTTCCTGATGTCATAAGTTCAGTGACAAGAACAATATATTTCCGTCTTGTAAGCGTAACTTCCCAATAGTCATAAAACCTTACAATATTTGGATGTTGAAGACCTTTAAGCATCTCTGCTTCCTCTCGAAATCTCAATCTTTCAGTTTTATTTAATTTTTTTTCTTGGAGTTCGCACCAAGCTACAGCGACTCCAGTTTGAGTATCAAGACCACGATAAACTGTTTTAAAACTACCACGTCCAATTTCTTCTTCAAATTTGAGGAACCGTTCATCAGGTGAAATCCCAATAGCCTTTTCTTCATCATCATCTTGTTCTATAGTCTGCACCTTGACTTTCATCAATAAGTTTCTTACGTCCTCCATAGCCATCGTTTTTTGTTTTTCCAATTTTTCATCAGCCTTGAAATTTTCATCTAAAAGTGGTCCAATAAAACCTTCAACCGTTTCTTCCTGTACTGGGTCTTTAGTTTCTGCCTCTTCAGGCTTTCTCTCAGTCTCTTCTTTGTTCTCATCAGCAGGTTCAACGTTTTCTTGTTCTGTATTCAATGGTTGTACCTTTCCTAGCTTACTTAACGATTCTCGAAGTGCTTGAGCGGCAACTATATCACTAATGCTCGTATCATTGTCATCCTCATATATCGTAACTTCATCCTCTACCGCACCAGCAGGTCTCACATCCTGTTCCTTATTTTCAGGCATTGTAACTTCTTCTGTAACTGTAGAAGTTAAAAATCTCGTACTTTTCACCCTTTCCACTTTAGAATTTTCATTATCACTAACACTTGTTTTTTGTTGTTCATCATCAGTAACTGTTCGTGGAGAACTTTTTCTCCCAACAGAGTCTCCACTTTCTGTAGATTCTGAAGATATTTTTCTCTTAGGTATTTGGGAAACAGATTCTCCCGAAGTTTTTTTCTTATCACTAGAGTCCAATGAGTCTTTTGAAATTTTTCTCAATCGTTCATCCGATTTAGTTCCACTTAATGACTGTTTATCGACGTTATCCATCGACCTCGGATGACTTGAGGAGTGTATTAACGATCTCCTCTTTGACTGACTTGAGCTCTCTCCATCAGTACTTTTTAAAGATATTTTTCTTACAGGTGTAATCGATTTAGAGCTCTCCTGCGTGTCTTGCATATCATTTAATTTTCTCGAGGCATTATCATCAGTGCCTTGCGTCTCAGTCTCGACTAGTGAACTATCAACAGTCTTATCCTCATCAATTATTTTTCTAGATTTCATTTTGCCTATTGGCGTGGAAGGTGTCGAGTTTATCCCAGGTATCCTTGACATTGTTTGCTCGATGATTTCTTCAGCATCGCTGTAAGCAGCATCACTGCTATGATCGCCAGTGATTAAGCATATATTTTGCGATGAAGAAGATCCATCAGGAATGCTAGAGTGATTTTTTTTCCTCGATGATGGTGATGACGAAACAACTCCATTACTCGTTATCGAATCAGCAGAAAGATCTGTTTGATTTCTCGTTTGCTTCTTACTGATACTCGATGACGAACGAGTTGAGGAAGATTTACTGCTAGCTCCTGATCCTGACTGACTAATAATCGACAGTTTACGTTGACGACGACTATTATGAGCCCTCTGAGACGTTACAACACCACCACCACCAACACAAGATCCTACACTTTCTTGTGAGGCTAAATGACCCACTCCAAGGCCAACTCCACCTTGGCTACTTCCGCCTCCACCGGCCACCAGTTTCGGACACAGCCCGGACAGGCCAACACCTCCAGCTCCGCCTGACGAACGCTGTCTACTTGTCTCATACCTGCAAAAAAAAACCAATCACACGTTTAAGTTTACACATGAATCAATACCACGCAAATGTCTTTGTTTACACATACAATTGCATTTACTGAATATTTAATGTGTAATTCAAGCATTGGTGTGAACTAATACATTGAGCTAACGAATTTAACTACTTATCTATTTGTAATTCATCTTATAAATGACTTAACTTAATAAATAACATGATAACGAATGTCTTCAGCAGTGATTAGTACGTTTAAGAATAAGATTTAGAATTTATTCATTTGTTTAGAATAATAATAGTGTCTGTAATGTATTAAATAATTATTTATAAATTCTTGCATTTATTTAGTACTTTTAATTTGTGCTATCTATGTGGTAATTAATTAATTAATTATCATTCATAATGATGAATGTTATTATTGCCTTGGAAGCAAGAAGAATTTATAAAAGCCTTTTATTGTTTTATTATTTCAAATTAAATCTTTACGCTTTTCTTCACAATTGGTAGATTGACAACAATTATAAGCATGCCTTTAGTAAACATGAATAGCCATTAAATTGATTGATGAAGAAAATTCGTTAAAAATCAGTGAGAATTAGTCGTTGATTTATATTTAAAACATAATACATAAAATAAATACTCAATTGAATGACTATACTTGCAGCTGTGTACACTCTTTTTTTATTGTGTTAGAGAATAAAAATAAGTTTAATTAAATATTTTGGCATATTGCAACAGAAACAGAGTGTGCATTTAAGAAATTTTTTATTATGAAGACAATCCGACAGAAAGATATCGCAGAATGAAAAAATATTATATGTATTTAAATGGATAAATAGCAGAATTGAGAAAAGTAAATTAAAATTATGATAAGATGCGGTAATGTGTGAAATGTAAAAAGCATGAAATTGATACAGACATCATTATACCTGTCCTGACTGGAGTGGCCAGATGGGAAGAATCCTCGCACTACGTTGCCTATAGCTGCTCTCTTTTTTATATCCTTATCTCGTCCTTTAAACCCTCCGACACTTGTGCTCACCTGGTGTTCTTGTCGATGTCCACGTTCAGCCTAAAATTTAACAAACTATTAATTAAAATTGTTTTTAAAGAATTATTATCGCAAATAAAATAAACGAGTTAACCCTTAGATTCATAATAAATAAAGTTAATTATAACGTTAATTAGCACAATAATTATATAACATTATATTGGCAGCGAAATGAAAGTTTATTCCAACGAAGCAGAATATAATCTACTAGTTTTGTGCAAAGAATTAATGCTAAGTACAGTTAAAGGTAAGAAGTACTGTACATTGTGCGTGAATGCGTAGGTAGATTATGAATCATCAAAGTACAATTGGGTTAATACGTTCTTGACAATGAGTTGAAGTTAAAATCTTGCATTAAATTACCCTTAAACTAAGTAGTTTAATATTCAAACTGCTGTTTGAATTAGTAGGCACTGGACTGAGATCGCAACGTAATCTCCTATGAGATTTTTCGACGATCGGGTGATTATCGTCGTCAAAATCAAGTGAATTATTAGTACCAATAGAAAATGCTCGACTTGAGGTCAATAAAATATCGTCGACGTTATCCTTTCTTCCTGTGCTCACCGGACTCACTGTTTTACTCTCATTGCAACATCTCGGCATTGCACGAAGTCAATCGTTTACTTCTGGAGTTATAGTTTTTTTCACAGCCGTTAGCAACACTGCTTATATTCTTACTAAATCTAACTTTCAGTTTTCTAATTCCGTTAAATATTTCGTCAATAATAGTGTCAGTAAAATTACTTTGAGCTTTTAAATCTTTTAAATTATAATATTTACAAATATTAAATAGTCTTTGACACTTGAAACTTCGATTCACTTTAATATTCTTCTTTGTTTAATTTATCTTCTGTATTTTAGTATTAATTCACTATCTTTCTTGTCTTTTTTATCGATAATAATCGACATAAAAATTTGTCTTATAAACTCGAATTTTCCTTTTTATTGAAGCTTTATTTCGAGTCTTATTTATCAATTAAAACCTACAAAATCGCTTGATAACTATCAACTAATTTCATCATTGACTGGAATGATGTACTCTAAAATGTAAAAACACATTAACTAGTCATTAATCGTCTCTACTTTTAATAGAATATCATTAAAAATGTTCTCAATTTTATTTAAACATTCTTTTATGCATACCTAAAATTTTAAAAGCCAGGGTGAGCTATTTGTGGAAGTGACCAGCAATTATAAAAGAACTAGAAAGCAAGTTCCCAAATACCAGCTCATTTCCTACGGCTTTCAATGAGGTTATAGCCTTTCATCGCAATTCATCTACGAAAATCTGTAATAACACAAAAAATTTATTAGAATAATATATTTTGAAATATATTGAAATAAAACTATTAAAGTAGTGTATAGTTAGTTAAAGGCAATATTATTTTATTAATAATTTTAGTAAAAATAAGCGCATTTAAGGAGTAATATTTATGCAGCTTTATTTTGATTTTATTGGCAGCTAGAAATAACACAAGATAAAAATGACGTCCGAGGGCCAACTTAATGATGTAATAGCTTTAGAATTTTGTAAAGAGACAATTGAATGGATGAGGAGGAGCTAACAAAACGTGTATACTGTCACGTACTCTCCAAATTGCACTGTAGGAAATAACAACCATTTTAGCTTGTAGGAACCAATCTAACTTTCAGCTGAAGAATACAAGTTAACTGTGATTATATTCAAACAGTTTCGTTTCAGTACTAAACTATAGCACTATGTTTTGAAAATATTGGAATAAGTATAGATATTTACTAAGATGAAAGATAGACTAACAAAAAAAAAACTATTTAGAAACAATTTATTATCCACCATTTTCAACTGATGATGCTAATGACCTGGAGTTAGACTATATTATAATTGGTTTACTAGAAGTAACATTTTACAAATGACATATTGCAATGTTATCATTCAATTTATGTGTTCGGAGAAAAACGATTCATTGAACATTTTATGAGTTTTTGTATTTAAAATGATAGTTAATTACTGATACTAATGATTCACAATTTCCAATTGCGAATAGGTGGTCGATTGTAAGGAGATACGTTTATGATATCTCCGTGATACACGAGAAACAAATTTCGCGGAATTTATCGTTCACAAATCGCGGTTACTTTGAGCTCCAGTAGACTGTCAAGCGATCAAGCATCAGAAATCTGACACTCAAATAAGAGAGTAGAGTTGTTGACAATGCGCAATACATATCTACAAGTCAAGCACGTGTATGTGACATAAATTACGCATTATTTCAAGTTCTATCAACAATTTATAATTAATCAAATGAAACATTGAATACTCCCACAAATAAATATTTATCAACTAAAAAATTTTCTTGGCCTTTGGAGCAGGCTTTTTTTAACTTCCAGATGTTGGGAAAGATCAGAAACACGAGGCAGTGAAACATTGATGCGTCATCTTCTTACAAAATTATGGAACACGTGTACATTCGAAAAAGAGCTGATACTAAAATGATAAAGAAAAATAGCAACACGCGCATTTAGTTAGTTGTTTTATTTACATTTTATCAAGAGTTATTATTATTCATTGGGCTTTTTCCTTGTCGAATAATCGTTATTTGACAAGGAAAAGAAGATGAAGAATAAATTATATAAGAATAGAAAGAATAAAACGATAAAAGTAATATATGTATAATTAAATGTTGATTAAAATGGTCCAATCATTGAAATTTCACTTGTTAAAAATACACTCGAAAATCACTGAAGTATAACCGTTTAAATAATTAACCTTTATTTTTATCAGATTTTCTCACTCTGATAAATAATCCATTTATAATGACGAGATGAAGAAATATCATATTATCTATTCACGTCTAATTTTATTTAATGACACAAAATTCGGCTGAAGACTGATGGTAAGAACGGTGATTACATCTAGATGATAATCTTGATGATTTCAATCACTACCTAGAATAAACTTGAAGACGATTTGTTGAGAAGTTATAAGCCCTAAAGTGAGTGGGAGTGTTTCTGCTTCAGTAAACTCGACAATAGCTAATAGAAAAACTCAAGTAAATGCTGAATGACGAATAATAATAATAAATATACACTTCAAAATGACACTTGGTTGTAAAAATTTGACATAAAATGAACAGTCAAGTTGTTGATGATTGTTTGAGTGTTAAGACGTGAAATGAAGTGTGCAGTGAGGGTGAAATCATATTGATTGTCACATCAATTTATATAATAAATAAAGTGCGTAATCGGCAAGATAGTGAGTATGACGTAGGTGGAGATAAATGAATAATTGCAATGAAAGGTTGATAAAATGTTGGTGAAAATGGGTTCTACGAATGAATGAGCAAGGAACTGAACCTGTCTGAGAAACAACTCGTTAGTTGTCAAAACGCGCACGTACAAGTTTCAACTGAATGAAGAAACAGACAAGTTATCTGAAGAGAGAGAGAAAGAAAGAGAAAAAGAGCTCAGAAGAAACGAATAAGAAAGATTGACAGTGCGCAGCAGCAAGTGTCGAGGCGACATACAGGCGTCACGGTCGCAGAGTACAGACGACGATGGGTAGAGAGAACACAGGGGCACGTGCGTGTGCAACCGAGGGCATACACTACGCACACCGCAAATCAAATAAGCTCTTTAGCTTGTCTTGTATTGTACATGGTCACGATGAGGCTTGCAACGACGATCTGACCGATCCACGTATACATTTACGCAGGCTTCAACTTGAATACTCGAGACGCTCGAGACACACGCCGCACACGCGCGTCTTCACAACTACATACACACAGAAAAGCTGAACATGAACTCACATTTACAATATATACACACATAAAATCGTATGGCCACGATAATGTGACATCTATCCCAAAAATATCGCGCCAGACAGATCTATCACGAAGAGACGAAAAGGAAGGTAGAAGAAATGGCAATTGAACTCATTCTTCTCAATATCTAACACTAAGCATCATTAATATTCATAGACTAACAACAATATTAAATAATAACACAACGGAACGATGGTTAACTTGTCATTAAGTCTCAGAAGCAAATAGCAGCGACACTTAGTCACACTTATTGATGTTTCCTCGCTTTGTTGTGCACTTTCCCAGACTCGAAACTTAACTGACTCTTAATGTGACTTCTCTCAACCGGCGAGGCTTGTGAAAAGCCTCACTGGATGATCTCTAAAGAGAGACAGAGAAAGCGGTCGCGTTGAGACTACGATCTGCTACGATCGAGTGAGCCTCTAACGACTCCCGTGTATTCTCCCGGCGAGACGGCTCACGGCGACACACACGCGAGCACGTACACACGCTAAGCTGACTAACCAATACAATATCCCCCCTTGCAACTCGTTCTCCCGGCGCCACACGTTTTTACTCACATTTATGCTGGCGAAAAATAGCCCCCGACTACACCCAAATCATCACCATTTTTTTTTACTGACTGTTGGGGCGCACCCTTGCGGTGCTATGCAGTAGGAAAATCTGCAAAACGTTAGGGGGCCATTCACATTACCAATGCGACCCCAGCGCTTTCGATGTGTAGGTGTGCCAACTTAAACACAACCATGTTGCGATACTGGCGCTCTCTTGTCTTTCTCTTGACTATTCGATTGACGTTTACTTTCGCTGAGGATCACTTTGCGCGAGCAAAAGAGATGAAAATATTATTACTTACACACTTGCGTCAGCTGAAGGCAATCTTCTCTTTCTATATAACTTTATCTTTGGATTTGTACACATATATATACAAACGTGGCGCCATGGTAACAAGGGAGAGATCTCGTGTCTCGTGTCCGGTTCTAAAAGTCGCTGATGCTTGGAATAGAAATCCAGACGAAAAAATTCAATAACTCTCTGACTATATATGCTACATTAACTACACGGATATTTCTCTTATTAGTTTTACTTTAAATATTTTTTTTAATATCCAATTACTTGTATGTCATGGCCTTGTATTGGCCTATTTATAGTTTATTTATATATGATGATTTTTTTCATTTAATTCTTCCTTGAAAATGGAGTTTTATTTTCGCAACTTGATACACTCAGTCAATCTTTTATTTATACAAAAGATACTGCGGTTTTTTGTTTATTGTTTTATTTATGTTTTAAACAAATGTCTTTTAGTACCTAAAAACAAATGTACGCAAATAGAATGCACTTACTATTGACATTCGATTGGTTTTCATTGAACTAATGGTGACATCGGAATTTACCAATTGTATCTGGTATGATTCATTCAAGTCGATTTAATCATATGATGAAATTCTCGAACGATTATTGGTCGATTTATTATTATTGGACCACGTGTTTGCAATAACAACTAATCAACGACGTCAAAACTACCCGGGAGTATTTGAATCAGCCATTAAATTGGCAGCAAACTGAAGTGAACTGAAGAAAAATTTAATAGCTACATTGTTACATAGAAATAACATAACCTAAAAATAGCTTGAAAACGTGAGTTGTCTTTTTGTTGTGTTTATCCAGTAATTACAAAAATGGTTCGTAAATTAAAATACCATGAACAAAAGCTTTTGAAGAAGGTTGATTTTATTTCTTGGCAAGCAGACAACAATTTACACGAAGTAAAAATATTGAAAAGATATAGAATACAAAAGAGAGAAGATTATACAAAGTAAGTAGAATAAATATTTTAGTACCTACATAATTTAGATATAAATTAAAATTTTCATTAATCTAACATGAATACGAATTTGTTGTTTAGGTACAATAAATTATCAAGAGAAATAAGAGACTTGGGGAGAAAATTGAAAGAAATTGATCCCAAACATCCATTTAGAATAGAACAGAGTGCAGCGTTATTAGAAAAACTCTATATGATGGGTTTAATTGCTACTAAGTGGGATTTAGGATTATGTGAAAAAGTAACTGCTAGTTGTTTCTGTCGAAGAAGACTCCCAGTCGTTATGGTCAGAAATAAAATGAGTCAGAGCGTTAAAATGGCAACACAATTTATTGAGCAAGGGCATGTTAGAGTTGGTGTTGAAATTGTAAAGGATCCTGCGTTTTTAGTAACAAGGTAAATACTTTGTGTGATTTTCATATTATTTATCTAGTAATAAAATTGATTAAACATTTTTAAATTCTTTTTATTAGAAATTTGGAAGATTTCGTAACATGGGTTGATACTTCAGCTATTAAGAAACATATTATGGAGTATAATGATGCTGTAAGTATATTAACAAATAATTGTAAAAATTTATTTTATTTAATATAACTGAAAATTTGTTATCAATTGTATAAAAAACTTTTTTTTTCAGAGAGATGATTTCGATATTAGTTAAGTAATTAATATGATGAAAAAAGGATTGTAAATATATTTTTATAAAATAATTAATAAGATGCATTAGACATAATATGTATAATCTTATTTTTTTATTACATAATAATTATAATTTTCATTATCAATAGAAATAGATACTTTTAATGTAATACAAAGAATGGAAATCACTTAAAAATGAAGTAAGTGTAATTTTATAAATTTCGCAACTTTTATTTTATTCGAATTAGCAATAAACTTTATCATGTTAAGTTTATTTACAAATACACTATCAGCACTCCTGGTATGTTGAAAATAGAAATGGAAAAGTAATTGATGATCAGATATTTATCGCCTCGATGCGAGGTAGAATATAAAATACCAAATATAGAAATACCTTTCGCTATTTTTCTATTTCTACCTCATCTCCTAGATCTCAAAAAACTTCTTTGGTTCCGATACTCCAATAATGCAGATTAGCAATATTGTTATCGGAAATTTATTTTTTAGCAAACGATATTTTCATTGCATGTGATGGAGTAATTTTGAATCCTTGTAAAGCGTCCTTAGCTGCACCTGATTGAACTTCATTTTCGAATTCAACAAAAGCAATATCATGCCTATTAGGTACAAGTCGAACTTCTTTAAATCCAGGGAACTGGTTAAATAACATAGACAACATCATTTCTGATGTTTCATCAGGTAAATTAGTTAAGAAAAGAATTTGATTTGGCGGCTGTTCCGGTACAGCTGTATTTATCATTCCAGGATGTGCAGGAACTCCAGAATGATAACCAACTTGTGCATGTTTTGCCTGTTCCTTTGCCCTCTTTTTTGCCCTTTTTGCTTCTTCTTCGGCAGGTGCAGGAACTCGTTTCGGTTTCTTCGGTCTTTCTGCATATGTTCCTTTCATTTTTGCAATTATATCACTGTCTGTTTTTGCATATTGTATTCTCTATAACATTAATTACTCCGATAAAATCAATTATTTCATAAGAATTATCTGATTTAAGTTAATGATTTAAATTGTACAAAAATAATCATAATGATTCATCATCTCACCATTGGTTTATCGTAGAATGGAAACCCTTGCATTGATCTAAGTGCATTAGTTGCACTTGCTATTTCCTTAAATATAACAAACGCTTGACCCCTCATTTTTAATGTTTTCATGGCTACAATATCCATTATTTGTCCAAATTGAGAAAAAATGGCATATAAAGATTTTTTTAATTCTTCTTTTTTGATTTTTTCATTTAGATTATTTATGTAAATAGTGTTGTTTGGACGAATATCCATTTTCCTATAAATATGAAAAAAGAAAAATTATCAATTCAAGTAGTATCAGTTATCGTAATATTTTTAATTGATAATTATTCAATAAAGTGTAATTAACTTAAATTTCAAAAGTACAAGCCTGCAACATAAACAACATTGAAGGAGTGTCGTGAATATTATCATGTTGATATAAAATATATAATACATCTATTATCATAAGTTAAAATTATGTAAGCAAGCTTTTTTAAGATTGAATGTTTTTAATATACGAGAAATAATTAATTATTTATACTTACGTTTAATAATCGTTTTATTTACTATCCGGTTAGCGTCAAATTTATCGAGGTTAAGTTGTCTTACACTTAGTTTTCATGAAAGTTTCTGTGACTGATTTGCATTAGCTGCTACAATAGAAATGCAGCTTTATGAATCAGATGCAAAGCAAATTCTCATGATGGACGATAAGAAAATTCGCATAATTGATTTTTTTTTATTTTATCTACAAAGTAAATTTACATTAAATTAAATTAAATTCAGTTCATAAAATAAATTAAAATATAAATTTAGATAAAATGGAATTAAATTCTAGTAATTATAATACTTTTTTCTTATCTATCATTATTTTAGAGTGAAAAAATAGGATTAAATATTTCGATTTATCTCATTAAATTATACAATAGACTTATAAATAGCAACATACTCGTTATTTATGACTGAATGATATACAAAAGAAATTTATTTTACATTCAATAAACATCAATCAATTTTCTAAAAAACTTTATCCTTTAATAAAGTACTTCTCTTATTTAATAATCGTCAAAAAAATATTCGCGTTGAATAAAGCTATTAATTAACTAGTAAATCGATGGCAACTACCCGCCATAACTCAGTGATCATGGCTACTACAAAATTTCCTGTCATATGTTTTTATTTAATAAAAATATTATAATTAATTTTTAAAAAATAAATAAATAATTATATTAAATAAAAATAATATTATTTACAGTATAAAAAAATTTATTACAATATAAATTATTAAATGAAACTTAAAATCAATGAAAGATACAAACATCTAGTCGGAGCTTCCTGCTCGAATCGATCGGGGTCGAGGAAACTGAAGGGGACGATTTTTTGGCGGGAATTCCTGAAGCGCGCGACTAAATTAAGTAGTTTAGTTGCCAAAAAATTCGCAAATAAACATTAATGAGTTTATTGCTCCGGAATGTATAAAAATGACTATTAATTTAATATCTCATCGTTGTAATAATTTAGGCCAGATGAGGAGAAAAAAGTCTTGAATAACAGAACAAGGAAGGAGAGAATAGGGAAGAGAATGTGTGCAAATTCGTTTGTATACATACACAAGCGTATAAAAAATAGAAAAGGTAAGGAGGTGGCGCTGATGATGTGAGAGTGAGTAAGACGGCGATCAACATAAAAGAGGGGAGTGAATAAAGCTAAACGTAACACACGGATCAACAGAGAGCAAAGTGTGAGAGAGAGTATTCGCCGTAGTGCAACTCTGATTCGCGTTCAGTGTGTCCAACGCCGACGACACGACGCGCGCACCGGCAGCCGCCTTTGTCTCTACACACCACACGAAGTTCCGGAGGTAAGTACTCTAAAGCTCTGTGTCTCAATTTTCTCTCATCAACTCCATTTGTTTTGTCAGTTATCTCGATGACAACATTTGTCAAAAAAAATCATATAAATTCATTGATCGCGTTAGTGATTTTTTGAGACAGTTCGCATCATCTGTAACGGTTTACTTTCAGAGATATTAATTTTTGCGGAGTACTGACGGGTCGGTGTTGTGCGACGCATTCGACGCCGCGTCTCAACTCAACTCGGTTAATGGCGTCTTACCGGGACCTTATAAAGTCAGTTTTTGAAGGTAGAAAAATTTTATCATTACATAGAATTTATTGCCGAATTTTTCTTATTTTTTTCTGTGTAATATTCCGCTGAAAAAAATCGACAAAATGACGCGCGAACGCGTTAGCGTCACTTTTACTCAAAGCGCCGTCGCGACCCACGCGTTGCTTGCTTGTCGTATTCTTCGTTTATGTTCGCTACGATATGTGATCTTGATTTGGAAGATGGTGGACGTTGTAAATTAGTTGAAAAATTGGAAAAAAATTATATTTTTATCCGAGTTATTTTTGATAATACAAAAAAAATTTTTTCGCGAGGTAATTAATTTTTGTGAAATTATAAAATATTGTGATAGCAAAATGGCGGGAAGCTCTGACGTTTTGAGGGTCAGTGCAAAACGGCGTAGGAATGGACGAAAATTGATTGACTTCCAAGTATTAATTAAATTGGTTTATTTTCATGCAAAAATTGTGCAAAAATTTAATAAAATATATTGTGTTCAAAAAAAATAAAATTATGTATATTTACACATTCCAAAAAAAGAATTCAAGCAAATAATTTTGTATTGGTTCGTTTGATATATTGAATAAGCGCCCTCAGGATTGGCGGATTAATAGTGTTTTAGATACTTTAAAAATCAACCAACGCCTTACTGAAAATCGATACATCTCGCTTTAGATTCTACAAATAATTCATGAGAAATCTTAGTTATTTTTCTTTTGTGTTATTTTTTTCTCTTCAATGAACCTTTAGATCGCGTTTCGTTGAGGTCTTGGGGACGCTGCCGCTCTCCAACGATAATATTTCTTGATTACATTGCGTTAAAGGGTGGGAGAAATAAAGATGGCGATTCTCCCGCCTTCGATATACTTTTGTGACTTTTTTTTCAACCTTATATTGTAGGGCTCTACTAAGGAATAATCGTAATATTTTTTTACGACATTAAATTTAATTTAAGGAACAGAAAATGAGATAAAAAAAAATTTAATTGCTGCTGTTAAAACTACTATTTATTAATCATTATTTATTTTTATATATAGATATATATATTTTTTTTTTCATTTGAAAATAAATTTGCTTATTTTTTTTTTTTCGTTAATTTTTTTTCCAGAATAAATAAAGAGTTCAAATATGTCGGACGATAATTCGCCAGTAGTTGAAGAACAGAAGAAAAAGCGTGGTCGTCCTCCAAAGAATTCTGATGCAAAAAATGCCGTGAAAGAACCAAAAAAGCGAGGAAGGAGTGCTGCGACAGACAAAATCAACGCCAGTCGTCCACCAAAATCTGACAATGAAGATGATGCACCTCCTGGACCAGTTAAAAGGGGTAGAGGTAGACCAAAAGGTTCCCATAAAAAGAAGGTGATTTTTTTTTACAAATTTAATTAATCCAATTAAATTATTACAGATGAATAAATAAATGAATTAATTATTGATTATTCCATTAGAACACACAGAAAACTAATGCACCCTCACCTGGACGTGGACGCGGTAAACCGAAAAAAGTAGAAGAGAAACCAGAAAGCACCGGCGAGGAAGAAGAATTGGAAGAAGAAGATGATGAAGAGGAGAATTGAAAATCAAATGCAAAATGTCTTCGCGACTCATAGGGGAATTTCATTTTCGGAATTCTCTAAGATTTGCTAACTGTTCTTCTCGGTCATTTATTTTTTTTTTTCATAATCATATTTTCTTTTTTTTAAGTTTTATGTATGTCGATGCACGAAAGTGTAACGAGTAGAGCTACTACCTCGACGATGGTGTGAATAATAATTTTTATATCTCGTTGAGCTAAATCAATAACCGCTCATTTGATGTAGAATCAAAAAGGAAAAAAAAATAACAAAAAAAAAAATGAACGACTAAAACGTCGTCAAGAGACTCGCGTATCGCGTAGTGCATCTTGTTTATCATTTTAAGTATTATTTTTATTCTCATTTTTTAAAAAAAAATAAATTTTAGTCGGAAATAATAATACCGATTAAATAAAATGACAAAACAAAAAAAATTTTAAAAACCGAAAATTTGTGATTTAAAAGATTGTGACACGATTGAAAATCTATTGGTCGCATTGTTGAAGCCACTTCATTATTTTTTTACTTATGTTTTTTTTTTCTATTTATGTTACTTCAATTATTCAGAGATTAAGGACATAAACGTCTACTCGTCTACACACCATGAATATCTTTAAAAGCAAAAGAAATAGAAATACTTATTAAGCAGGTATTCTACAATCGAAAAAATAAAAAAAAAATATAAAATAAAAAAATAAAATAAATTCATGGGCTAGCTATTTATTTGCTGGCAGTAATTGAAAATTTAAAGATACTTATAAAGTAAAAAAAAAAAAGTAATAATTAATTAAATAAATTAATAAAATTGTAGGATACTCTCTTGTATATCACGAACGCGTGAAAACTACTCAATCTTATTGCAATTTAAAGAAAAATAAAGGGAAAAAATTAATAAACATGAGTAAATGAATATTGAAGTCCCGCTTCCGAGACAAACAAGTTGTGTGGATGTAAAATTTGTATTAAAGTAAAATAAATTCAAAAAATACTCTTATTTAATTTAATATGACCTTTCTAATTGAATTGAATCACATTGAATAGTGTATAATTAGACCAAGAATAATTGATATAATACAAATAATTTTAAAGTAAAATTTAAATACATGTACTTTTTAATAATCATTTATGTGATAGACCAGCTATACAATTCATTTTTTACATCAATTGATGAAGATAATTTAGTAAATATACATATACATACATTCATATATGTATATGGATATGTATATTTAAAAACAAATCTAGAAACTGTAATATTGCATTTAAAGTTCTATAAATAATTAAACTCTCTTTATAATTACTAGTGGATTATTACTTGGTTGTCATGCAATCACGTTTTATAATAATTGAAATTTTGTTTTTCAATACATATTTCATGTACGTGATTTTTTATCCCTAATGATAAATACTAAATTACTGATATATTTTTATTTCCCTACTTTATTTAATAACTTTAGTATTACTGATATTTTTTTAACCATAAATATTATAAATAGCTAAAGAAAAATAGCATTTAGTGAGTAGATGATTGATCAAATCACAATTGACATGTAAAGTGAAGTGGAAAATTCCTATCACAGGCATTTTCTTAAATTTTATTTATTTTCTTGTATTTTTATCTCCATCTTTATAATTTCATGATGTGAAAGTTGAAAAAATTAAAAGAGCCAAGTAGAAAAAGACGATAGTAAAAATAGAGTTAGGCTTTAAAAATTTAAATGAAGCAATAATTTATCGACTAGATCTTTGGATAATTGATTATCAATTTTATAAATAAAAATTTACGTACAATTGACACCACAGATTGTCATTTTCTGTAGTACATATTTGTATATTAATTATAAGCGGCAGCGATGAGCTATTTTGTCACAGTAATTTATTATTTTTTTTGTTTATTTCATTTGTTAAACGATTTAAGTTGCTTAAAAGCAAAAAAAGCTCACCAACTGTCCAGTCTTTGACACGTCTCAATAACGTGCAATTTTATTGTATAATAACGATATTTCAATAAACTTTTTTCTTTGTATATAATTATCTATAAGACGTGAGACTAGAAATTCAATATTTAAGTTGTTTTTTTTTAAATATAATAATATTCTGATAATAAACTAAGCAACAGTAGACGAAAAGTGTGACTTCAATCATATCTTTATATATTTTTTCAATCGTTGTTTATTATTATCAGTAATTTATAATTATAAAGTGTACCCGTGTATTAAAATATTGCCAAGGATTCCTACTTACATTTTTTATTTCTCTCTTTCTATCAAATTTTCAATATTTTTTCAATAAAGATTTCTTTATAATTTAAATATTTTTATAGTTTCAATGAAACGAAGTCTATTAAAATTATAAAATAGAAAATAATCTGTATTTTCCTAATCTAAAATAATTCTAACTTCTAAACAATAATCTCATTTTGTGCATCATAAGTTGATCATTATAATGATCAATAAGTAACGAATTAGCTTTATTTTTCCAATTTTACTTGAATACTCTTTGGTACTATTTATAAAAGTCATTCAATTTATTTTGCGATATAAAACATTTATATCGATTTAAAGTCAGTTGATGGATATCAGCTTTCAACAAAAATGCTTATTCCAACTTATAAAACAGTTTATCAATTATTTAATTTCAATAAATTAAGTCCATTTGTTACCCATGTGCTTTTTTCTCATTCATAAGAACAAAAATGTCCTTTTAGATATAAAAATCACGGATTTTGTATCTTTGAAATATTTTGTTTCACAATTCTTATGTTTATGCTTACTTTTACTTTTTATCATATTATTTCGCTAAATTTTCGTGGTACGAGAACACTGTCAGCAGACATCTTCATCAATTGATTCCATTTCTATTGCTTCTTTTGTATCTCCAGACTTGCTACTGGTAGTTGATAAAAACCTAGGCGGTATTCGCATTGGATTATCGTCCGCAGGAGTTTGATTACTCCGAGGAACCTTACGTCAGCGACTGAATAGCTCCGCATTCTCTTCGCTGTCCATTGATTGGTATCCTTGCTAATAATTTTAATTCTGTTGTTATTTATAAAGTAGTTTCAATAAATAATGATGAATAATAAAATCATACTCTTCGTTGACGACTTCCGATGCCTTCATCAAGTAGTTCAGTTTCCCAGTCATCTTCTCCTTCTTCACCAGGATCGAAATTGTATAGAGGCATTAGTCTATGTCGCAATCGCTCCAGCTTTCGACGACGAGAAATAATTAAAACCTGAAAATGACATTTTATGAACATTCTTTACTTCTTCGTAACCTTACAGTAAAATTCTTTAATCATTTTTATTATTAGAGTTTTTACATATAACTAATTTTTTTGCGATTGATGGAGTACGAGAATTTAAATTTATTCATTAACAATTAATTATTAAATACTGATCGATATGTAATCAATAACCAATTGACTATCATTAATATTACATTAGCAATATTATTAAATTGATTGATTAAAAGTAATCGAGATATACTCAATTTAATCTCTACGCTTATCATCGTGATTGTAGCATTTTAATCACCATCATATTAAAAAAAAGTTTTAGTCGCATCAAATAATTTTTGACAATGCAAATAATGTAGTTAAGTTATTGAAATAATTTTAAAAAAAACATAAATATTGTAAAAACTTTTTTCTTAAAATCGAGAAATAAGTTAAAATTGTTGTTAGTACCACAGCAGATAAGATTATTACGAAAATCATGACCCCAAGAGGTACAAAAATATATTCTACTCCTTCAGGGGGACCAAATTCATCAAATGGCTCCTCAGTGGTTGTCGTTGTACAGCTTTTGGTAGATTTGTTAAGCGTTGCTTGACTAGTGACTTCTTTTAGAATGCCCAAAGATGATTGTGTAGTGTCATTGTTATATGAAGTTGATGATTCTGTATAACTACCACCAGTTGTAGTGCTTCCATTGTTTATTAGTCTAGTCATATCTGTTGTTATATCCTCCAGGTTGTTCAAAAAAATCGTTGTTAAGACAGAAGTGTTAGTCACATCTTCCATGACCTTATAATTTAATATAAAATTAAAATATTAAGCAATGAATTTAATCCTTAATAGATCATAAATAAAAACATTGAAGAGTAAATTTTTATTAACATACCTTAATCAATTAAGATTATTAACAAATGAAGAGCAATACTTGGCATTTATTATTACTTCTTAGTTTGAATAATTGAATTTTGTTAATTAGAACTGTTATTCACTTTGTCAAGGAAAATTGTTGATATTTAATTATAGAGTATTCAATATTCGCTTTTAAGAATTATAAGTTTAAGGTTAACACTTTTTATTAGTCACATATATCATCAGTTATTTTTGTTAAGTCAATAATGGATAAAGATCAACTTACATTAAGAATTGAAATATAATAATATTTTTAAGTGTACGAATTCGACTGTAAATTCAAATAGTATGACGTAAATTCTTATCACGCATCACTACACACATTGATTGTACACACATGAAAGGATTGTATGGATTTTTTGACATAAACTTGTTACGAAAAAAATTTTGTTAGGATCAATCAACTGATAAGAATATTTTAGTTTTATTTATAAATAACTATTTTACACTAGTGATCCAAGTGATAAAGAATAGAACTAAAATTTTAACTATTGCTTTGTGGCCACAGTGTATCCAACTTAAATTTCAAGATGCAATGATTTCGTATAATTCGCAATTTATTTGCGAATAAATTTAAAAATGGTAATTGATTTCTTTTTAAATTAGAGATAGAATTGGTTTAAATATAAGTTGTATAATACATGAGAATGTGTAATACTTTTTTAATTTAGATGAGACATCAAATTAGAATCATACATATAAAAAAGTAAAAGATAAGAAATTGAATTGTTGCAAAAATTGAAATTTAAAAATACTAAGAATGGGTTAATTTGCAATAAAAGTTTCGCCATTTCTGTGATGGTCGCGACACCTACAACTGTCAAAAAAACAGTTTGAAAGTAACCTAATGCCACAATTTTCACACTTCATTTTTAAATTTTCCGCGTTTTTCTATTTAGGGATATTTTTTGTGAAAAGTTTACTGACCTTCTTTTTTGCCGCGGAATTTCATCCAACAAGTCAAAACAAGTTCAAAGAATCTGTTTACTTGGACAGAATTATCTGTTTATTTGTGCGAAAAATTTTACTTACTTTTAATAAAAAAAATATGTCATCATTATTTATATTATATAATTATGAAATATATATTTTGTTAATTTTTTAAGTGCTATTTTAAAAAGTTTTATTCACAAATATTCAGTGATTAAAAATGGTGAGAGTTATAAAACTAACCTGCAAAAGTATAATTCAAAAGCATTGCTTTAAATGTTTCTTTTTATTAATTTTACATAAATTTTAATGTCAATAGAGGCGTTCAGCAGCTCCTAGCCAGCTTGGAAAAAAACCTCTTATTACAGATTTAGAAAATCATATTCCAAATGTCAGTATTATCAATATTAACAATAACAAACGGCTAAGTGATGAAGGGTCTTCACAAAAAGAAAAAAGAACGAGATTATCAATTAAACCAAAAACTATTCAAATTCCTGAACGGAAGGCTATTCAGTTATCTGCTAACGATGTATCTGCTACTCAGGAAAGTGTATCAGAACACGTAAGTTAACCAATTAAATTATAAAATTGAATATCAATTTAATTGTGTACTTAAATTCAATTATTGTACATTTTTAGGAAGAAAAAATTCGCAAGTTGCTCAGCAAACCTTTTAAAATCCCAATACCTGGTTATGAGCTTTCTGGTCGGTTTTTAGGAGCAAAATTTGCTGGTCCTAGAAGACCCTTACATGATCCATTTGGTGCTAATGCTCTTGTCGTCTATACTCCTCCAGAGTTATCTGAACATGAACGTCTCAAGGCTGATGAGTAAGTCAATAATATTAGTTTATATCTAATATCTAATAAATGAAAAATAAAAAGATTTTATGTTTCTAATTCAACATATTCATTTTTTTATAGAAGTAAACTGTTAGTTCATGTAGTAGTAGATCCACTTCTATGTAACATTCTTCGACCACATCAAAGAGAAGGAGTAAAATTCATGTATGAATGTGTCACAGGCCAAAGAATTGAAGATGCTTATGGATGTATCATGGCTGATGAAATGGGTCTTGGTAAAACTCTCCAATGTATAACATTGCTATGGACTTTATTAAAACAAGGACCTGAAGCAAAGCCTTTAATAGAAAAGGCAGTTATTGTTGCACCTAGTTCTCTTGTTAAAAATTGGTATAATGAAATATTTAAATGGTTGGGTAACAGAGTAAAACCATTAGCTATCGATGGTGGAAGTAAAAGTGATATTGACATGAAACTCAATGGATTTATGAAAACTTATGGAAGACGTTGTGTCAATCCTATTTTAATAATTAGTTATGAAACATTTCGTCTCCACTCACATGTTCTTCATAGTGATGAGGTTGGTCTTGTTCTTTGTGATGAAGGACATCGATTAAAGAATTCTGAGAATCAAACTTATCAAGCTTTAATGGGTTTAAAAGCCAAAAGACGAGTTCTACTCAGTGGAACACCGATTCAGAATGATCTCTTAGAATATTTTTCTCTTGTACATTTTGTAAATCAAGGTTTATTAGGTACAGCTCAGGAATTCAGGAAGAAGTTTGAAATTCCTATTTTACGTGGTCAAGATGCTGCTGCAACTGATAACGAACGAAAATTAGCTCAAGAAAGACTTGAAGAACTTGTGACTGTTGTAAATAAGTGTCTTATAAGAAGAACAAGTGCTTTATTATCAAAATATTTGCCTATTAAATATGAGCTTGTTGTGTGTATCAACATGACAGATCTTCAAAAAAGACTTTATAAAAATTTCATTCAGAGTGAAGCAGTTCGAAAATCTATGCAAGATCATGACAGTGAAAAAAAGAAAAAAGGAGGAACTTTATCAGCACTTTCGGCAATAACATTACTTAAAAAATTGTGCAATCATCCTGATCTTGTTTATGAAAAGATTCAAGAAAATTCTGAAGGATTTGAAGGAGCTTCAAAGCTTCTTCCTGCAAATTATAGTACAAAGTACGTATTTCTATTAAAATCTTTCTTTCTTTGTTAATGATTAAAGATTAATCGAATAAAAATTGGTTTCAGGGAAGTGTTACCAGAGTTATCAGGAAAATTGATGGTTTTAGATTTCCTTTTAGCGTCAATTAAATCAACAACGAATGATAAAATAGTTTTGGTATCGAATTACACACAAACTTTAGATCTCTTTGAAAAACTCTGTCGCAAGCGAACATATCGTTACGTTCGTCTTGATGGTACAATGACGATCAAAAAACGATCTAAAGTTGTAGATAGTTTCAACAATCCTGATAGTGGTGATTTTATATTCATGCTTAGCTCAAAAGCTGGAGGATGTGGGTTAAATTTAATAGGTGCTAATCGATTAGTGATGTTTGATCCCGATTGGAATCCTGCCAATGATGATCAAGCTATGGCACGAGTTTGGCGTGACGGACAGAAAAAACCTTGTTTTGTGTATCGGTTCTTATGTGTAAGTTCAATATCTCAATTGAATTAATTATCATTCATAAAAGTATTTATCAACATTATATGTTATTGATAATTCTAGACGGGCACTATAGAAGAAAAAATTTTTCAACGACAAGCGCACAAGAAAGCTCTCAGCTCTACTGTTGTTGATCAAGAAGATGATGTTTATCGACATTTTACGCTCAGTGATCTTCGAGATCTTTTCAAACTTGAAGAAAATACAACATCTGATACTCACTCTAAGTAAGTACTCCGAAATATTAAGTAATTATTGCGATTGGAGAATAATTTTAGTTTAAGTCACTAATTGATGGCCAATTAACAATCCATTTCCATTTTAATCTGTTCTATAGATTCAAATGCAAGCGTTGTGTTAATGGAGTTGAAGTAAAAGGGCCTCCAGAGAATTCTGATTGTAACTCAGATTTATCTGATTGGCGTCATTCTCACAATGCACGAAATCTTCCAGATATACCATTGAGACAATGTTGGTCCAGTGGTATTTCTTTTGTGTTCCATCATCGCTCTACAGAGCAGGTGAAAGAGAAAGTGGAGAAAATTAAAGAATCTCAGGAAGAGACTGACGAAAAAGCTGATGAAGAAGAAGAAGATGATGATGATGATGATGATGATGACTCTTCGTAGTATAGTCCATATTTTCTATTTATTGATAACTTATAATTAAGGTAGGAATAAGAGAAAATATTTTGATAAAATTTTTATATAAAATATCTAATGTAAAAAGTGATTAATATTATAACTTTGATGTCATTGTTAAATATTAAATATTTTATTAATTAATTACTGTAAATTACAAAGAATAATTGATAAACTCAATATAAATCCCTAATTCTAGTATTATCATTTTTTTTGTGTGTGTTTCTCTTTTTACTCCGAACTTGATTAGACATTTTTGTTTTATTTTTTATTATCTTATTATTCCGAGTCTTTTTCTTAGTATTATTTCGAGCTTTTATATTTTTATAACTTGAATATGTTTTTGCTATTTTGTTCTTTCCCGTTTCTGAATTCCTATACACTTTTCCTTTGGTTAATCTACTATTTTTTTTCTTTATTTTACTATTTCTGTTATTTTTTCTTTTCGAATTGACTTTTTTTCGATTCAAAACATTTTTCTGATTCTTCTTATTTTTTCGATTCATTACATTACTGTTACTTTTAACTGATACCACAGTAGATGTTTCTTTTTCTGGTGGAGACACTTCTTTCTCAACATTATTCTTTAATTTAGAATTTGTAAATGAATAGTCAAAATTTAGAGTAGGTTGTTGCTGAAGATTATAGCCAGATTCTACAATTTGGGAATTTTCCTGATTTTTCTGGTATATTACTTCATTTCCAAGAGAACTCAAATCCGTTCTTTCGCTCAGTTTATCTTGATGTTGAACGAAATCTTGAGGAAGCTCATGATCAATAGAATTAGCATAATTCAAATAACTCTCATGAATTTTCTTACCATTATAAAAGTATGAAGCTAGCTCTTGACGATCATTTACATCATATTGATCACTGATTGGTAGCTCTCTTTTTCTTAAATCTCTTATTCTACTTTTTGTCTTAGTATCATTATGTATTTCACTTGAAGAAGCTAAAGTCATTTCTTCACTTGTAGAAACAACTGTTGAATTCGTTAACGATTCTTCAGCAAAAAAATTCGATTTCGTTGCATTCTCAACCTGTTGGTCATCAGGCACCAGTGTGCTATTGATTGATTTATTCATTAATGATTCATCAGTCGTTGAAATATTTTCTGTTCCATTTCCTGTCGTTGATGGTTCAATAACTGATTTATTAGTTGTTGAATTCGCTGAATATCGAGAACTAAATGTTGGTTGCATTCTAGATTTATAAAGATCTCGGGGTGCAGTTTTAAGAGATAATGGCGGCAACGCTGTTGTTGTAGTTGTTATTTCAAGCATTCCTGGAATCATTGAACCTTCAGCACTATATAAGATTCTTGTTCGGACAGCATCAGATTCATTTGAATTTTGAAATATTCTTGAAGTTTCATTGGACACTTGTAAGTCAGAAGTGCTCATCATAGGATTATAAACTTCTTGAGTTAGAGAATCCGAATTATCCGATGCCGGAATTTCAATAGCTGTATCGAAAATGTATGCTCCGTTATGGTCATTATATGAATTATTTTTCTCATTAGTATTATTTATAATTAATGGAAATTTGATTTTGAATGATACCGCTGGATTAGGATCTTTTTTAATATTAATTCTGGGTATTTCTCCAGGTCTGAACAATGCTAATATAGATGTATTGTTGGTGAAACTTAACTTGGGTAGCTCTGTTGATGTTGGTATTTCTACTGGCTTAAAAAATATTTCTGCTTTTAAAAGATTATCTGCATTCCTATCGGTAGTTATTTCTACGTTTGATGGAGTTGATGCCTTTGTTTCATCATTCATAGTAAGCTGAAATATTTCTTCCCACCTAGGAATCATTTGGAACACTGAATCATTTTCTGTATCAAAGTCAGTAGAATTTGTAACTGTTCTCAATGAAAGATTTGCGTCTTTTAATTCTGAATCATTAATTATTATGGTCATTTTAGAATCTTCATTTGTATGATTATTGTTATTTATTATAGCATCATTCAGAATACTCGATAGAATGCCTGTATCATTTGAGAACTGTTTATTCACGTTGATTAAATTTTTATAATATTTCACCTCTTCATTCAAAAGAGGTTTATAGAAAGTTAAAATAGGTTTGATATAAAAATTGAAAAGTAATTTCATAAGAAAATTCCCATTCTTTTCTTCATCGTCTTTTAAAATTTCGGATCTTGGTTGAATTTGACCTAATGATTTTTCTATTTCTTGGCTTAAATTAGAATCTTTTTCTTTATATTTATTGAAAGATTCTGTTATTACCTCTTCAAATCTTTCTGTTAAATTCTTAGTTTCTATAGAAGATGTAAGTTTGGAATTAAGATCTCTTCCTGTTTTTTTTGGAGCAACATCAATGCCTGATAAATTTAAAAATGATATCAAGGGATAAATATATGGAGATATATCAACTTTTTCAACTGGTTCAGGTTCAATATCAAAGTCTTCACTGACATTTTCCCTGGAGTAAAAGTATTTTAATTAAGTTTTTTGAATTTCAAACAATAAATCGATTAACTTACGTGAAAGTTGATGGAATTCTTTGTAAAAAAATACAAAATACAAGGCAAGAAAATAACTTATTAAGAATTATACATTTTAAAGATCGTTTTAACATGGTTTTAAAATACTCTAACTTACATATTTATTTTTATAATAATTATCTTGTATTATTTTAGTAAATACTTCTATCGCAACAATCACGAAACTTTTTCTAATCGAAATGAAATCTCAACTCAAAGTCTGTACAATAGTTAATAACCCATTGATTCAATTTTTTACACAATTGATTGTTTAAGAAATAATAAAGTAATTTGTGGAACTAAAAATCAATAATCGATTAGAAGATTTCAACAAAATGTTATGAATTTCAATTTTATGGCTTTAGTAAACGTATAACTAATTAACTTGAAACTAATTCAACCACAAAACTAATTCAACCACAAATATTAACTTGTTGACTCTAATAAAGTAAAATAAAAATATCAAAATCAGAATGAGTCAGAGTAATAGAAAAGTCAATACGAATATAAGTATTATTAATGATGATCCAGATGTAGATGATGTACTATTGCAATAGTTTGTTTGGCAGTGGAAAACAGATATCCTGCTAACATAAGCCCTTGAAGTATTTTGCCTTACATCAACTTGTAAATAATGTTGTTGTATATAATCAACAGGATATTTCTTATTTTCAGATAAATATGCACCTGAAGTGGAGGTGTTTGCAAGGAAAATTCGGAATTGACAACGTCTGATGATCACTCCTCTTGATGAATTACCTACAAGCAAGGAGCAAACGATTTAATAAATAATTTATTTAGAAAACAACCGATGATTTTTATATAGCTTCAAGTATTTAATGTTTACATTTAACTTACTCAATTCATAGACGACCTTTTCACACGCTGCATTTTCAAACATACTCGAGCAATCTCTTTCAATGACATATGGGGCTTTAAAAATATCGTCACAATATCGACAGTGATAGCATATTAGTGCCTCACCTGCAATATTTTATTTAATATAGTAATATTCTTTGCTGCTGTAAATATAACAATTATTTGAAATATTCCAAATAAATTAATTCACTGGTGATGAAGATTGTCAATATTATACTAGAAATCGGTGATAAATTCATTATAGCTTATAGAAAATTATTTCCATCAATCAGGAAAATGTATGGTGGATGGTGAAATAATCATTGCGTATAAACTGCGTATTAGATAACTGTAAAAAATCACAATTATACTGTTACATAACTACCGTAATCTAGACAAAATGACACCTTAAACATCAATTATTAGTAATTATCCTAGTCACAGTTAATAACTACTGATAACGTACATAATTTTTTTGTACAAAGGTAATAATAATGTTATTCCAATAATTAGCAAACTTTACATCATGTGAATGATACAGTTTCTACTAATTAATTGGAAAAGAAGTTTTGTAATTATTAACTTTAGTATTAAAGGTTAACGATCTAATGCCAATGTTCAGACTCAATAATTATAGGCCATAACAAACTTTATTTGCTTGAAACTCATAAGCATATTCTTAATTCAAAAAAAAAAATATATATTGAATTGATTGGATGTCTACACGGTTAATTAATCTGAATTTTTCTACAAAAATAATATGAATATTGATTATCATTCAACTCGATATAAAAAAATGTTATAAAAATATGAATTATTACAGAACGACCTTACTAAACAATTTATTGATAAAGCAAAATTTGATTGTGTTCTATACAATAAAATTATTCAAACTAATTAATAATAATTCCCATTTCAATTAAACATCCATTGAATAGTAAATGAAAATAATCCAGACATAATTGGTAGTAGATTCAGTTTAGTCTTTTGAGCTTGATTACATAAATTATTAGAACAAAAATAATAATGTAGTGTATTTACAGGTGCATCATCTTTAATATCATTTTTTATAGAATACTGAAAATATCTTCGTTCTTCTGATACAAAATATTGTCCTGTGCAACTGCGGAGTATGACGCCCTCAGTGCCATTTGCTAGTGGAAATAATTTCTTCAAGTAAATTCTTCTTTATAATTAACTCTATAAAAATAATATGAAGATTTTTATGTATGTTTATTTTACTTACATAATATAAACTCAATTTTTTGACAGATTGGCGAAATGAAAGTACAGTTTTCTACTTCGGTATTATTTCCTAGTTCATTACAGTAAGCGCAGTTATGGCATTGAAGTGCTTCTGCTGAAAGTTTAATGATATTCTTGTTTAGTAGCTTAACATCAGCTGTTATTAAAGATAAAAAATAAGGTCATGAAATTGATACCAGAATAAAAAATTAATAAAATAGTATTAAATAAATAATAGTTAAATTTAAAACTCATTTCAGACGTTAGTTATGCTTAACATTCATTAGCTATGATGTTTGATGATATTTTTAAGTATGAACAACTCAATTAAATCATATTTAAAATTATAAGTATAATAATTAACACATTACATCTGACGTTATTTACTATTGTATACGTGTTGTAGAACGTCAATTTTTATTTATCTATGAATTAATTATACTGTTGTTAAATTCCTTAAAAAAAACATCGATTCAACTTTGTCTAATTCAATATCTCGGAAGTAATTAAATTAATCAAGAACATTGACTATAAGATTAGCTTTTTGGCAAATCATTTTCTCACGAATTTGCTAGGCATAATCCAGAAACAATAGTTAATTCTTCAAGGTTCTATGAGAACTTTCTCGAAAGGATTTACTGACGCACCTCCTGCAATAAAATTTGAAACATCTTTCAAATCCTACGTCGTAAAATAATTTTATCTATGTATAATTTTTATTATCTAGTTTTTCTGTTCGAAGTTGAAAAAATAATTAGATCTTTTTTCTGTTTCTTATCTTTATTTTTAAAAAATGTTAAATACTTACGTATTATTCAATTGCTTGTCAATATTTAAATTCATTTTTTCATATTGCTAATAAAATATTCAGCTTCATTTAAAATTTTTCATCTTTGGTGTCAAATCAGTTTCGAATTTATTTCTAAATTTTTTTATCCTTTTATTATTTATAAATCAGTTTTTTTTTAGTAAAAATTAATCAATAATAAATATGTAAAGTTGCATGACGGATCATTATTTTTAATGATTCATAAAATAAATACAACTGTTGAGCTGAGCTAAACAAAGTACAGTTCACGTTGCTTATTGGATTGAATAAAGAATAAAAAAAAGGATAAAAAAGAATTTAGGATTGAAAGTAATATGCAAATTCAATATAAAAAAATCCCATTGTCTGCTTGCTAATAACATAGGTCATCAGATACGAATCTTATACAATACATAGCGTTGGTATTGTAAATTCCATAAGACAATGTTTTTAGAACGTTTAGTAAACTAACGTAATATTCCCTTTACAGTTTCCGAGCCCGCATTTCCAACGCTTGGGTTTTTCAGCAGGTCAACAGAAGTGAAGGGGGAAGTAAAGAGACGCCGGATCTGAGAGAGAAAGGTAGTGAGTAGAAACAGTAATTTTGGGAGTGGGAAAAGTCACATGACCCATAATACTCGTCTCTGATTGGTCAAAAGTACTTGACTTTCCACTTCTCCCACAATTTCAGGGGACGCTTGCTTGTCTTTCTTACGTACACGAGCTCAGAATAGTTCCAGATGTGGCCATGTTTAGTTAATATATTTGAAGTTTCTCTTTATCGATTATACTCAATTTTTTAACGATTCACTTCGATCAACAATTGTAAAAAGAAACTCCATCGTATCTCCAGAAAACAAAGATAAACCGCCGATCGTATATATCTTTGCCTGATAAAAGCTACACAAGACAAAAGACGACCAATTAATATTTTCTATCGCGTACATTTTTAAATGAACCCGATGTAAAGAAAGTAACTCGTACACTCGAGACGCCATTAATCGGAGGGAGGGTCAAAATTATTGAGAAAGTATCCAGGTAGTCATTACGAATTTTGATGAAAATTTCGTTGCCATTGATTTCTAATTAAATATTTAAAATCGTGTTAAATTGAGTTTTCAACGAAGTAAAAGCATTTTAGTGGCTTAGAAATTGCAACAAAAACGCGCGGGCGCAATTACATGACACATACAAGACATATACAGACAAAGACAAGCAGTAGACACAAGGATATATCATACATATACATCAACGATCGATCACGTGATTTGAGGGGAAGCTGTTGTGGCGCGCACACACGGGAAGTAGCCAAGCCCAGACGTATTAACGTTCGCTGACATCGGTGGTCGGCCATGCCACGTCAACCAGAATGACGTTGTTGGTCCAGGATAAAGGGGACACGATTAAATACTTTAATTACGATTTATCGAAGCTCACAGTGATATCAATGTACCAGAAAATATTTTATACGCAAAAAACGAGTGAGAAAGAAGTAAGAAACAGCTAATTGTAGCCCAGGCTTGCGATATTAAAAAAGAGATAGAGAACGTTGGTGGGGAAATTAGGACAGAACGAAGACTTTAAACAGTTAACAATTCTGATAAGGATTTCATATTCCCATAGATGGTTTCTAATCATCCGGATTCCTGTTTCGTGACTCATCAACTCCAAATCAGGGCAACGAGTTTTTGATATTTAATATTTTTATATCACGAGTATTTTAAGGGCGCTTGAGTGTCGGGTCGATTAATCGAACGAGCTAGACGCTCGTAGTGGCAGATATTGGTAACAAAAAAAAATCATTACATTGAGAAAAAAAAATTCTCAAACTTTTAAAGGGCAGTAAAAGATAGCTCGGTCGGTGGAAAAATAGCAGCTAAAAAGTATTAAACAGAGTCGAGTAATCGAACATGGCACTTGAAAGTGTCAGCGCGGCTGAGACTCTGATCCAAAGGTTTGCCTCATTTTTTTCTACTCTAATTTATGAACGACTGTTATGTCATACGAAAAACAACCACGCGTTGAACAATTTGAATTTTTTTTTCTAACAAAAAAAAATTACCGTGTTTTTTGACGAGGGCATTACTTATGCTTTTGTCATTGTTGGAGCTCCATTTTTCTTCATGAAGATACCCTAATGTTCAGACCCTTCAATGCCAGCCAGCGAGAGTAAGGACACCTTCCAAGGAGACATCGATTTTTTAATGTGTATTCTTTTTTTCGATTGTTTTATTTATTTGATTTGAATTTTTTTATCTTTTCTATTAGTCATCATCACGTCATGACTAGAAAATTATTTGTGTTCTATTTATATGCCAGATGATGACAGATTAGGTCAAGGCCATTCTCTATAGTTCAGTTTAGTTTTTTTGACGATCGTAAAAAAAGAATAAAAGTTGAATTGGTAAGATTCACTTTGGAATTTTAACATTACGAAATCATGCTTCATAACGGGTTTAGTGTTCAAGTTGGCTGGCTTTTACTTATTTCATTTTAACAATATATAAGCAGCATTTGAAAATCAATATAAACAAACAGAACATTAGGGAGCTTCAAGAAAGAGAAATAGAGTAATTTAAAAATTATTAACTCTACTAATTCTTGAGACATATAGATTTGTATAATATGTTTATTTCTAAAAAATTTTTTTTCAAGACATTTATTTTTTATTGTTTACTAGTGGTTGAATACCACATTAATTCAAAAAGCTCGAATAACAAGTGTATGTAATATTAATTACGACGGACGTGACTAAGGGTAAAGTTAATAATTTACATATGTTACTGATGATAGTGTAAAGATATATTGGTTGAACAAATATAGCGATATTATACACACATGAAACACGTGAACATATACAAACATATATGACAAAGAAGACGAGAGAAAGTCACGCAATGTGTTTCTGATATACTTTGACCTCTTTGACAATAATTGACTGTAAACAAACATCAATTGTTACATTCATCAAATTTAAAACGATAATCTAATGAAATATTTGATAAACAAGTAACAGGTAATGATTTGTTTATCAAAATGACAGACAACTGTATTTAAATAATTATGATAATTTTAACAGACGAATTTAAGTATTTATAATTTAATTTAAAATTATGCTTCAATTTAATGATCACATGACCCTGAAAGTCATGATGGTAATGCAACAATGATGATGATTATGATACATGATGATAACATTATGATGCGCATGATGATGGCAATGATTATGATAATAATGATGATGTTCTACAGAACTGGTAAAGTATTTCTATTTTCAATCATTTTGATTATTTAATCTTTTTAATTATTTCATTTTAGTAGATATTTGAAATTCTTTACAATCATTATTTATTTAATCATTCAATTTATATCCATTAATGGGTAATTGTTTTAGACTGGACCTCGGTGCTAGTGTTGTGTTTACTTTTTTTACTCCTTCATTGAGAATGTTTGGTGTGACTTATAATTGCCTTAGAAAATTTATTTTTTATCTCTTTAAAATAGTCCATGATTAGATTTGATGATTTATTGAAAGATTTGTTTTTTTTTATATAAGTGAAGTGATTTTTTCTAATCTTAAACATTTTGTGATGATGAACTTTTCTATGAACTTACAGAATTTAATTAATGTACTTTTTTCTTTATCGATCCACTTTTGTTTGCCATCAGATATTGAAAATTTTGACGAGAAAGATCAACGTTTTCAAAATGACTAGTAGTCATGTATGTGTTTGATATCAAAAAGATAGTCTCAATCTGTCTAAAATCAACGCAGCTTATTTATCTGAGCAGTATAACAAATTGAAAAAACAATTGTTTAAATTTCTAAATATTAATACGATATTAATCTAATATTAGTACGATAAACGAATAGTAGTTCTCGATTCTTAACAACAGACTTTATTTATTTTTTTAATCGTTGATATTCTCTACAAAAACACTGGCAGCTGTTGTCTTGACTACCAAAATAATTGCCTAAATTACATTGATTAAACACTTTATTTATTATTCATATATTTTCGCTCATGACAAGGTGAATGTCACTTGATATGATGAAGAAATCATTATTATCAATCATATGAATAGTTGAAATATTATGTCATTTTTATGACTCAAAATATTTTCAAATTTTTATTTGCCAATATTTAATGCATTCATTTTGGTTATTGTTGGGTTTCCAATTTCACAAAATTAACTGAAATTTTTGTTTATTAAATATGAAATATTGATAAATAAAACTTTGCAATTAAATTAGCAGAAATTTTCATATTACTAAAATTTGTTTATTTATTAATTATTGATTGAAAAATATTTGAGAACTAGTGTTACATAAACATCATCATTGGTTGTATTATTGATCAACACAAACTAAGAATGTATAAATAATTGAATGGTTTATTTAGAAATTTGATAGATTTTTTTTTATTTAACAGCAATGCAGATAATGATGATTTGGAGGACGGAGAAATTCCTTCTGATGAAGATGATGAACCAGTGGTTATCACCGTTAAGCAGGACAAACCTCCAGAGCCTTCAAAAGAGTCTTCAAAGTCTGATTCATCAAAAGAGAAATCAGATTCAAAGTCTAGTAAAAGTAAAAGTAAATCGTCAACAAATAGTAGCTCTAGTAGTAAAGTTGATAGATTTGGAAAATATAAAAATCCTTCCGAGGATTGGGCTGGAGACGTTGAGAAAGCGATAAAAGCTGTTCTTGACGAAAATAAATCTAAAGATAACAAAGACAGTAAATCGAAAAGTAGTAGTAGCAGTAAAAGTTCTCGAAGCTCTAGGAATAAAAAGAGAATTAGAGATGAAAAAGAAGAACGAGATCGTGATGACGATCGTAATAAAGATCAGAAGGTTAGTTAGTTGATTATTAGTTCAAAATTTTTATAAACTCTCTTTAACGAAGGGATGATTAATTGAATTTTTAGAAACGAAAATTAAGTGACGACGAAAATGTTAATGAGGATGATGATGAGATGCTCTTCGTCCGAGGAGCATCACCAGTACGACGAGAAGCTCATGAGAGTCCACCTCTATCACTGAGGCATCGAGAAGAACGACCTCGAGACTTATCACGTGACCGATCCCGCGATAGGGATAGTTATGATAGAGATTCCAGATCAAGATCACGATCCAGAGATTCTGATGAAAGAAACAGAGATCGACATAGGGATGAGAAACGAAACAATCGAGGATCATCAAGTCGTCGTAGTGGGAAAAGTGAGCGAGGGATAAAAAGTAAATCACGATCACAGAGAAGCGATAGAAGTGGAAGGCGAAATCAAGATCATGGTCAAGATTCAGATTCAATTTGTGTTTATTATATGCAAGGTAAATGTCATCGTGGTGATGATTGTCCATTTTCTCACAATGCATTACCACCTCGTAAAATGGAGCTTTGTAAATTTTATTTAATGGATTGTTGCGCTAAAAGAGACAAATGTCTTTATATGCATCATGACTTTCCATGTAAATTCTTTCATACAGGTTTAAAATGTGTTCAAGGAGACAATTGTAAATTTTCCCATGAGCCTTTAAATGACCAAGTGAAGAATATTTTATTGAAACATTTGGAAACAGCACCTAAAGAAATATTAGGCGAATTTCCTAGACTTAGTAGAGAAGGTGCTTTATTAATGATTAATAATACAGCTAGAAAATTAGCTCAAGGTCAGGATGCTAGTAGTGCGAAAATACCCAGTCTTTTTGATGTAACGTTGCCAGCACCACAAAATTTAACAAATGAGAAAGATGACGATGCAACGAATCATTTAGATAATGCACAGAATAGATTAAATTCGACAAAAGATAAAAAAGTTGCTGGAAAGAAAACAAGGTGGGGCTCTGATGATGATAGAGTGCCATTAGAACAAATTATGTTACTCCAATCTGTTAGTCAACTTGGTCTTCATCTTCCCAATGTTGCTTTGAGTCTTGCTGTTCAACAACAGCTTCAGCAACATATTTTATTACAGCAATGTATTGCAAATATGGAATATTATAATGAAATTCAAGGTAGTCCTTCAGCTGAGGGCGAAGGAAAAGGAAAAAAAGATGATAGTACGAAAAGTGATGAAGAAAAACTACAAGGACAGAAGAATTTAGCTGCTTTAGCAAAAGATATAGATTTAAGACAATTAATTGCCAATTGTCCAAAATCGTCATTACTTAGCATAGCTAATGAAGCAGCGAATTTAGAAAAATCTAAATTTGATGAAGAAAGTGATCATGACGACGAATCAGATCTTGTGATAGCAGTGCCAGCAGATGAAGAAGATAAAAATAAAGAGGCTGAAAAAGATAAAGATAAAGTCAATAATAATGATAATGGTGATAGTAGTACAAACAAAGAGTCTTCCGTTGAAAAATCAAGTAGTTCAGATCTTTATAATATTAATAACCAAGAATTATTACCGAAATTACCGAAAAAAACTCAAGAATTATTTTTACGTATTCAACAGCAGCAACGAGCTGCTACAGACAGTATTGGTAATGCTGATGATAAGTGTGCAGTTGAAGATTTAGAAAGAAATCAAGAAGACTGGTATTCAGATGATGATGGTGATAATGATGATGATGACGATGATGAAGGAGGAAATTTACAGATTGTTATAAAAGATAATTTGAAAGATGAGAGTGAAAAGAGTGATTTAGATACTCCTACTAAAGAAAGTCCTCCAACACCTCAGCCAGCAAGTATTCCTCAGCCAGCAGTAATTGTTGATAAAATTGGAGATGTCAGCAAGATTGATATCAGTGCAGAGGTGACTAAATTACTTTCTTCCATTAAACCACACAATGTAACATCATTGAAAAAAAGCCCTGGATTAGAATCACCACCAAGTAATGATGATAGAGGTAAAGAATCTGACCATGGCCTAGATAAATTATCTAAGTCAGAAAATGGTAGTGTTAGTCCTAAATCTTTCAGTATGGGATCTGGATCAGTTTCGAGAGATCCTCGGATGTCGAGGGATCCAAGACAACGGAGAAATGAAGATACAAAATGTAGTAGTCCAAGTAGATCGGATTCTAAAAAAGAATCTAGACCTCTTCGATTGGAAACAAGTATTTATTCATCAGGAATTATTTCTACAGATTCGCCAATGGACACGGATCTTAGAAGTCTTGATCAAGATCGTCGTAGACAAGATATGGACCTTCGGCAACGCTTCCCACAGGACTTTGGTGATACTGATTTAAGAGTCGGAAGTGGATATTCAGATACAACACGATCTGATGTTGATTTGAGGCAGATGTTAAGTTTACCATTTAAACCTGCTCCTTCTCATGTACCATGCACTGAGATTGATGCTAGCATAGCTTCTCATCCTCCTGTAACATACAAAGTATACGTTGTAGACATTCCTCGACCTAACTACACTGGTTTGAAGTTGAATAAAAATGATGCACTTGTAAAATATGATCCAAGACTCCGAAAAATATTCCGACTTAGTCAATCAGAAGTCGCAGATTCTCCAATGTCACCGCCTCCAGCTAAAAATATCCCGGATACTCCAAAATCACCGCCACAAGTCAGAACAGATCCACGAAGAAAAGCATTAGAAATGACAATTCCAACGACTCAAGTAATTACATCAACAAGTATAATGTCCACAAATTTAGGACCATCTCAACAACAATCGCAGGATCTTTCTATGAATATGGGTGGTCCTGGAATACAAGGACCAGGTGGTATAGGTATGCCATTAGGCCAAAATCAGATGATGGGAGGTATAGCACCCTTAGCAATATTGGGAGGAAGTATGCAACCACCTAATATGACTCCAATGGCGATGGGAGGAATTGGAGGTAATGTTCCGAACATAGGACCGAATGGTCCGCCACTAGGACCCAATCAAATGGGATTTGATGGCCGTTATGGAGTTCAGAGGAATGGTGGCCCAGGTTTACTTGGTCCAGCACCTGGATTAGGTTTTAATGATCATAGAGATATGGGACCTAACTTTAATGAGGGACCAGCTTACTCCGGAGGTAATTTTGGAAACTTTGGTCCAGGGCCAGGACCTAATGAACCCATGATGGGTTTTGGACCTGGAGGTCCAAATAATATGAATAATATGAACAATATGAACTTTGGTGGAAATAATCTTGATTGGCCCACGGGTAATTCAAACCCTGTGAGAAGAGGAGGACGAGTTAGGCGGAGAAATAGAAATAGAAATAATGCAGGATCGAGAGGTAATAGATCACCTCAATAAATTTCAGTTATTTAAAAAATTTGTGGTGATACTGTGAGATAATGACAAAAAGGTCACATTGATCATTTGTATAATATTAATTGAAATCTTGTTAATATTTATAATGATGAAATGAATTAATTTACTCAATTAAGTTAAATATAGTCAGTAATGACAGCAACGAAATTCTTTACTTATTTCTGGAGCAGGAAAAAGCTCAATTTGAATATTTATAGAAGTAATAATTATGAATTTATTAATCTAATAATTTTTTATAAATTGTAAGCTATAGAATAAATATTTGTATAACTTCCAATATTATTCTAGACTCGAAAGTCTAGTTATATCATAATAATATTTAATTTCAATTTATTACAAAATTAAGATGGAGATTAATGGAAAATTGTTTTTGAATTCCCGTTATTTTTTAAATCGTCAACTGTAAATAATATTATTTAATAAAGGAATGATGATTTAAAAATAGAATGGAACGAGTAAATTTAACGTAAATTTTTACTTGTAAATATCGTAATGAATTTTGTTTACTTTGCATAAAGGAAAATATAATTATAAAGACAATTAAAATATAATAATGATTTTTTCTCTTATAAAAACAATCAATAATTATCTTCAGTGTTTTGAATTTTATTTTTTTACGTCTTGAGAATGTAAATAATAGATAATATGATTTATGTAAAGAATTGTCCAAATGTATATTAATATTTGCAAAAATATATTCAATTAAATCTGTTTAAATAATTATATTTTTGATATCTTTATAATCCATTTGATCACTTATTATTTTATGATATAAATTTATTATATTTGAGTAGATATTATTAATTTATTATCTATACTATGTAATATTTACATATTAGAGCACTGCCAATTATTCGATAAATTTATAGTCGTAACGAAAAAGTAGATAATTTTTTGGTAAATTATTCTTAGTTATCAATAGTAATTTAATGGAATGATTCTGTGTTAATGTATTACAGATGTAAGTGGCTCAGCTCTTATCGATGCTAAGTCCAATTGAGAGTCTAATTCATCATCAAGTTCTCCAACGATTGCCCTAAAAACCAAAGCAATAAATCAGTAATTAGTATAATGAAATGAATATTTATAGGGTAATTGAGAATGTGATATTAATGACTCTATTTTATTATTACTTACACATTATCTCCTCTGATAATATGTAGACCTAAAACTACTTGTTCTACTCCTTGTGTCAAACTGTATACACGCTCATGTGATTCATCAAGAATTAAATTAATTGTTTGATCAAAGCCTTTTAAAGTTCCCTAGATAAAAAAATATTTATTACTAGAATAATGTAACAATCATGACATTTTGTAACAATTGTATACTTAATAAAGAACTTATTTAATTAATTGAAGTTGTTTATTGGATTTTGTTTATTAGATTTATAATTTAGAGTATGTCATCAGAAACTTACTATAAAATTTCTTCCATCAGACGTAATAATTGATACAGTATCTTATCATTTATTAAGGATTATAAGGTTTGATTTTATTGAAATTGATAAAATATTTGTTAAATTATTCTGAAAAGGATACGATTGATGTAGCTTTCCAATCCTGAAGCCATTTTATAATATAAAAAAAATTGAAATGTAAAAAACCTTATTGAAATTTGAAATTGAGAAATAAATAGACAAACGAAATTGTCTAACCTAACAGTTTATAAAACAAGGTTCCAATATTATCAATTAAATTACCAATGAATTTATAATATTATTACAAGAATATATAAATGATTAATAAACTGATTATTCGCCAGTGTAAGCTATTTCAAAAATTTTTTGTTTATTTTATTATTTCAAACTTTTGAATGCTTATTTTTAAATGTTATTTTTATACAACGTTAAGACACCGCTTACTCTGATTCGTTTGTGTATGAATAGGTTAGGTTCGATTCGCATTGAGCTGCAGCGATTTTCGGAGTAAACGATTGCTGAAAAGGAGAACTTGACTCTGAATTTACTTCGCTGAAACTTGACGTTCAAGCAGTTGTTTGCCGACTTGTGTTGAGTCTAGTTGAGGTCTTGACATTTTTACGTAAATCGCGTGTGCTAAAAGACTTATTTTGCGGTTAACCGCGTGCTATTTTTGTTGTTTTTTTCTTTTTTTCAAAAAATTTATTTGCTCATTTTTCAAGAGTGACAAGTGTAGTTAAAAAAAAAAAATATAACTTGTGCAAAAAGGAGTAACAAAAAAATTAGGTAAAATGCCTGTTTTTCACACCAAGACTATTGAAAGCATCCTCGAGCCTGTAGCACAGCAGGTAATTGTTTAAAACTCTTTTTATCATCAAATTGTCATTTTTCTTATACTGAAAATAATTATTAATAATTACTCCCATTTATTAAATCATCATTTAATTCATATGTTATAATTTTAGGTGCAAAATTTTTTTTTTTAACTCAATTACATCAATGATGTAATCAAAGTTTATCATCAAAAAACAAGTTAATGACTTTGGAGTTAAAAATCGAGCAAGAATATAATTTTCCTTGGTGTTCCTCCCACACATGTTCTGTTAATTTGAAGTAGTTATTTATAGTCAATCCTTGTCAAGTTGATGGTTATAATTGCACATAACTAAAAAGCATTTGCAATAAATACTACTCTAAGAATGACCATTTTCGTAAATGAATACATAACATATTACAAGCGACTTATACTAAAAAAATAATATATACATATATTTAGAAGTGACATCATTCATTGAAACTTGGTTAGGAGGAGAGTAAATGAAAGAAAGAGGGGAAAGAATGAAGGCGTTGGATATCGATATGAAAGATTTCTTACCATTACACGGTCGTTATCTAATTTTAAAAATACCTTGAAACTTCAATGTAATCTGTCAATCAGTCAGTTTAAAATGTAAATAAAAAAACATCAAAGTTTGTCAACCCTTCAAGAGCTTCAAGTTTCCCGCGCACTTGATAAGTTGAAAACCCGGTTTAATTAACATCTTCAGTGATTTTTTTGAACTGCATGAATGAGCAGTCAGACACTTAATAAAATCATCAAGTCTTCGAAGAATTTTGTTATTCATATAATAAGAAGTATCAGAATAATTAAATAACCACTTCCGTGGACCACGCCTGGCTACTGTTGGCTAATAGACGGAAGGTTATGATGAATTCTAAAAATAATAACGGCCCAAATAAAAGTTTACTGGCCATGAGTATAAGTTGAACGGTAGAAACTTTGAAGGTTTCATTACACAATGAAAACATTTGAATAAAAATGTCTTTGTCAGCTTAATAATCCTTATTTGTTTTGTCTACTGAAGACAAATTTATGTTAATCATGTATAAATAGCAAAATTTTCTGTCAATTGTCTACTATGCACTTTATTTCATGCTTATGTACTAAATAAGGAAATCTACTTTTTGCCTCTTGGTTTTTATCATGCCACCAATCATTCAATTTAACTTGCTTAGTTGGTTCTAGAGTTGAATGAATTATTATCTGAAAACAAAGCCAATTAACATTTTGTCGAATTTTTAGTAAATAAATGGAAATTTGCTAATTTAATTAAAAAATGATGTAATATGTTAAATATTCTATTGATGTAAACAATGACAAAAACATTGTTTATATAAATTCAATAATATTTTAAATATATACACTGAGGATTTATACTTTAGCAGAAAATTATGAAAGAGTTTCGTAATTTATGACAGAAATATAGCAGACACTTAATCATTTTAATATATAATTAGAATCCAGATGAGTCAGATATCATTTTATGTTATTTCTTAACACCTAAACGTTTGATTAAATGCTTTTTTATTTAAAACTATTATAATTAAGTTAATTACACTTTCTAGGTTTCGAGGCTTGTCATTCTACATGAAGAAGCTGAAGATGGAAATGCTATGCCAGATTTGGGACGGCCTGTTCAGGCTGTTAGCATGGCAGTCACAAATCTTGTTAAAGTAAGAGTCTTTTGGTCAATTAAAAATTTCAGAAATCGTTAAGTAATTTACTTTAAATACTTCATTGTACTTGGACAATTAAAGAAAATTTGTTATTGATAACAATTAAAAAATAATACAACGTTTTATTCTTTGTGTTTTATGTTATTAAATAGGTCGGAAAAGAAACTATTAATTCCTCAGATGATGTACTTCTTAAACAAGATATGCCAGCCGCCCTCCAACGTGTTGAGGGTGCTTCAAGGCTTCTTGAAGAAGCTTCTGCATTACTCAAGCAAGATCCGTATTCGGGACCTGCCAGGTACTGTTGACCTCTTTTTTTAACTAACTGTTAACTCTGCAATAAGTTTTGAAGCTTTTGTTAAATTGTGGACGCCAATAAAAATGTATCAAACCATGTGCTAGACATTAATTTAATGGAAAGCTTATTAATTATACTTTTAACGCTCAGAAAAGTGTTTATATTTCATGTTACAGAAAAAAGCTCATTGAAGGGTCAAGGGGAATTCTCCAAGGCACTAGTTCATTGCTGCTTTGTTTTGATGAAAGTGAAGTTCGTAAAATCATACGAGAATGTAAACGAGTTTTGGACTACCTAGCTGTTACTGAAGTTATTGAGACTATGGAAGATCTCGTACATTTTTTGAAAAATCTTAGTCCATGTTTGAGTAAAGTTTCAAGGGAAGTTAGTGCTAGAGAAAAAGAACTAACTCATCAAGTACATCGGCAAATTTTAGTTAGATGTTTGGATCAAGTTAAGACTTTGGCTCCGATATTGATTTGTTCCATGAAGATTTTTATTCATATAATATCTCAAGGTGGGAAAGGGGCTGAAGAAGCTGCCGAAAATAGGAATTATCTTTCTGGTCGAATGTCTGATGAGTTGAATGAAATTATTCGGGTTCTTCAACTTACTACTTATGATGAAGAAGAATGGGATGCTGATCAATTAACGGTATTTATTTGTATACTATAATAAAAAATTGAAAATATTATGTAAAGACTTCGACAATATTTAAAAAAAAAAAACACAAGGAAGACAATAAATGAATAATTAATTCCAGGTGCTGAAGAAAGCGCAGAGTGCCATAGAATCCCGTGTAAGAGCGGCTCATGATTGGCTAGATGATGGAAGAGCAATGCGCGGTGGTGTTGGTGAAAAGAGCCTGCGACAGATTATTGAACAGGCAGACAGACTAGCAGAACGCTATCTTTTGCCAGCGCAAGCTGAACCTATGGCAAAATTGGCTTCACAAATAGCTACAATGACGGATGCGCTTTGTGAGCTTCGTCAAGATGGAAAAGGAACATCGCCACAGGCTGAATCACTAGCCCGAGGAATAAAAGAAAAGCTGAATGAGCTTCGTTCTTCAGTTGCCTCAGCAATTGTAGCTGCTGATAAATCTGGGCTTTCACAAACGGCTCATACAGTTGCTGGAAGATTAGAACAAGCTCATAAGTGGTTGCTCAATCCACAACACGATGATAAAGGTTTAGGACAACGTGCCATTGCTATGATTGTTCATGAAGGAAAGAAGGTAATGCTTTTAAATATTATTTTTAAATTGATAATTCATCTTAAATGAACATTGTTTGATTAATTAATGCTGCTATTGGAAAGAATCAACGAAATTTCTTATATGTAAGTTTTTTTTAGTCTAGAACTAGCAAATTTAATTGGTTTGACAAAAATCAATTTTTATAAATAATACCCTTTTTACTCTCTTTCAGAAAAAAATATTAGAGTAAAAAAAATATTGATAAAAACAAGAATTAAATTTTTTGTAGGTTGCCGAGGGTCTTCCAGGAATCCACAAAGCAGAAATATTACAGCTGTGCGATGAAATTGAAAGTTTATCACGCCAGCTATCTGATCTGTGTGCTCATGGTCAAGGGAATACACCACGTGCACAAGAAATAGCTCGTCAACTATCACAAAAGTTATACGAATTGAAGAATAGAATTCAACAAGCCGTTGTATCGCGAGTTGTTGAAGACTTTATTGATATTACAACACCGCTCAAGCAATTTACTGACGCTGTTCTTACTCCTGAAGGTACTCCAGGACGTGAACAGAATTTTAATGACAAAACTCATGCACTTCAAACATTCTCCAATCGTGCAGCGAAAACTGCAAGAATGGTTGCTGCTGGCGGAAGTGGTGGTAATAAAAAACTTGCTGAGGCACTTTTAAATAGTGCTTCTCAAGTAGAATCATTAACACCTCAATTAATTAATGCTGGAAGAATTCGAATGAGTTATCCTGAGAGCAAAGCCGCTGATGAACACTTTGAAAATCTCCGCCAACAATATGCAGAAACGATGCAAAGAGCTAGAATGCTCTGTGATGAAGCTACTGATAGTGCTGACTTTATTAGAACATCTGAAGAGCAAATGCAAAAACATGCTTTCCTCTGCGAAGAAGCTATTGCTAAACAACATCCACAAAAAATGGTTGATAATACAGCTGCTATTGCACGTCTGGCTAATCGCGTTATTTTAGTTGCCAAACAAGAAAGTGACAACAGTGAAGATCTTCCATTTATTCAACGTGTCAATCAAGCTGCTGATGTTCTTCAGCATTGTGTTACTCCTATGGTACAAGATGCTAAGGCTGTTGCCATGAACATTACTGATGGACCTTCTATTTCACGATGGAGAGAAAGTAATCGAGCTGTAAGTATTGACTATAATTTGTTTCATGTTGTCAATAAATTAATTTTTATATTCATTATTATAATATTAAAAATTGTTTAAATATTAATAAAAAAACGTGTTTTATTGCTGTTTTAGCTTCTTAACAGTGTTGGACAAGTCCGTAAAGCTCTTCATCCGGATAAAATAATTTCCCCTGACATTTCCCAACTGCGTATATCTGACGGTGAGTATTTTAATATTTTACATATTCTATCTAATTTAATCCTCCAGTTGTCATATGAAATTACATTGATGCTAAATAGTCGTTGCGTGTACATACACCAATTATTTATCTGTGCTTTCAAGCAAAAAAAATTATTTTCTATAAAAGCGACATAAGTTAGGATTAAATTAAATTTCATTAGTAATTAAGTAACATTTTTTCCCAGAATTCTAAGGTTTTATTATATAAATATAATTATCTTAAAAGATATTGGAGGATTAATAAAATATTTTTTAAATTGTTTTTCATTTATTTATGTGTACTGTGATAATCAAATTCATTGTAAATAATTATAAGTGTAAATATGAACCTTCTCAAATTTATTCCAGAAAATCATGTGCCTCCCCCACGTCATACATATTTCGCAGACAAAGGTATCATAAAATGGCTCGAATTAATATTATGCATGATAATAATTGATTTTTTGTACTCAAAGTTTATACCAGGATAGTTCTTGTTTTTCACAATTAGTAAACTTAGTTGAGTGCTCTAGTTCCACTCGATTTTTTCGATGTTGTTTATAATTTAACGTCCAAATGTCTTATTCGTTGATACATTTTATATTTCATATATGCACAAGTTCAACAAATCATAAATTCATATTCATTCACTATCACAAATTTATATATTCCAACAAAAAAAAACTGATCTGAAAGTTTTTGTCGTTTGATATTATGATTTGACTTTTTAACTGTCACTTATCAGTCGGTGAACCTTTGAGGAATCAGCCGTCACCCAGCAATTTGGGCGCGGTCAGTCCTACTCTTGGTATTGCCAAACCGCAGCATCGTTCCATCAGTCCTTTACCTAAATGGGCACGTGGAGGTACAGGAAAGCAACTTCAACACTACTCTGCTCTTTCACTTTTATTCTTTAGTATACTTTCTTTTTTTAGAATTTTTTATTATTAGCAACAATAAGCTATTTATTTTTTCTACAACTTTTTTGCTTTAAAATTTTTAATAAAAATTACAGTTTTCGTGCTCCTAGAGAAAATAAATACTTTTCTTCTTTTCTAATGACACTTTTTTATCAGGAGATAATGCAGATCTACTATACCAGGAACTTGCCTCCGACAACGACTTTGAGAAATCGGCAAACGCCGGAGGTAATTCATCAATTAGCACACAATACAAACAATCGCATCAAGTCTCGTAATCATTCGAGACATTTTTTGTTGTTATTAATTTTCTTTATCCAACTTTTCGTTAATTTACTACATTTTACGTTATGTTATTTCCTTATTTTGGTGTCTACATTATCAAAATAAACATTTCCCATCAATTTCATGTCATCCATTCATCAATGCATGTTAATTATTCCTCAAAGGCATAATACACACTTCGAATGAATTAATTAATGTATTTGTTAAATAATAATTAATTATTATGGTTGTTCTTATTCCAATGCTGCATGATTACCAGGATACTACGATAATTATTATTACAACGAAGAAGATGATGGTAAGATAATGGATTCAATATCCGCATTTCGGGTTTTTAGCGATGAAATTTTATAGGGCTGCATCTTGATGTCTGTGAATGTGTTTGTGCATGAAAAAGTCGACTACTATGATACAGATTTCTAATTTAACTTTTTTCTTATAGAAATGGCTCCACCGAGACCTCCACTACCTGGTGGAGAAATTCCACCACCAAGACCACCACCGCCTGAAACTGATGATGAAGATGAGATGTTTATGCATGCACCTCAACCTAATCAACCTATTATGGTAATTATACTATTTTATATGTATTTTTCATTTCTTGCTTAATACTTTAAATAATGTAATTCAGCATATAATTTTTTTGTTACACTCAATTTGTTGTAGCTAATTAGATTAAAATCTTTCTTTAAATAAATCCATTACTCATTAATTTGTTTTTGTAGATGGCTGCTCATGGACTCCACCAAGAAGTGCGTCAATGGTCCAGTAAAGACAACGAAATAATAGCCGCAGCTAAGAAAATGGCTATTTTGATGGCTCGTCTTTCTGGTTTAGTAAGAGGAGAAGGTGGCAATAAGAGGGATTTAATTGCCTGTGCAAAAGCTATTGCTGAAGCATCACAAGAAGTTACACGCCTCGCTAAAGAACTTGCTCGGGAATGTACTGACAAACGTATTCGAACGGTAATCTTCTTTTTATGAAATTGAAACTGAGTAATTATAGGTAATTTTGCGGAAAAATGTTTTACAACTTTTTTCTTTCCCCTTTCTCATGTAGAATCTGCTACAAGTTTGTGAGAGAATACCAACGATAGGAACTCAACTGAAAATATTGTCTACCGTAAAAGCAACTATGCTTGGTGCTCAAGGTACGTTTTTACTTTATTTATTTATCTTACATTTAAGTTACAATAAGTTACAAATAAATTATAGTAAGCAATTATTTAAATTAACCATAATATCAGTGAATTAAAAATAACTAGGAATAATTGATTAATTAAATTAATTACTCAAAATAATAGATATTGTATATAAATATTTTATTTGAATTTTTTTTTAACTATGGGTTATTTTAGTTTATCAATAGTGGGGATTTTTTTAATGCTTTAAAGCCATGAAACATAAAAATATCATTAATCATTAATCATTGAATATTAAACATTAAGCTTAAGTGTGAGATTTTTCATTCAACAGAAATAATTGATCAATAAAAATGAATCAATTTAATTTATTCATACCTTAACATTTAACATTTAAGAGTGCAGTATTGAATCATTGATAATCAACAATCATTTTTCTGTGCATAGAAATGCTCCCCACCTGGGAAGAGTTGATGCTTTATGGTAATCAAAGCTGTACATAAATTGCATTTTGCTTTTTCTTTTAATTCTATTCATGTGCACATTTTTTATAATTTCTCATAAGCTGCTCATTTTTTGTGCATGCACCAAATCATTTGAGATTTTTCACACTCAATTTGCATTAAATTTTATTTTGTATTTTCATAATTCAGACTCACATCTTTCATAGAAGCTTTTATTGTATCTTTACATTCCTATAAATAACATCCCTTTATGTCTTATTTAATTTTAATTCTTTATTGAAATCCTGAATTATTGCTACGTTCAATTTTTTCATTTAATACCCACATATTAGTCAAATTATGAATTGGATAATTAATAATACATTAATTATCGAAACAGTAAATAAAGAATTGAATAAAAATAACCATCAGTCGTCACGATGTCTTTGTTATTTTTTCTGAATTACAATTCTTTCATTTCATTTTCCATTTCGTTTTGACTCTTTGTTAAGCATATGCATTCTCACTGCTAAGCTATTCTGGTTATAAGATATAGTTGTTGTACCAAATTAGTGCCAAGTTTCTGAATAAGCTTGGGGGATTTCGTTAGTCTCGAACGACGATTAATATAGTAGCAAGAATCACTGGCTATATTGGCTGCAGAACTTTTTGAAAACAAACAGATTTTCAGTAATAGAAACTTCCGTCTTATTTCTCTTCTTATTATTAGACTAACTTTTATTACTTATTTTGTCTATTATTCGGACTCATTAAACGGCATGTGGTGGCTTCTGCCTGCATCATATGATGATTACAGATGAATTGATTGGCCGCAGTAAGTCCTTCGATTCAATTCTTGACTTCGCATTTTATTCTATATATGTTAATCCAATTTACCTATTTACTAGAGTAGCTTTATATTCTAATTTATTGATAGAAAATGTGCATTTTTTTATACTCAACTAGTTATTTAATTTTTATACTGATTTAATATTTGCACAATTACTTCCTTTTCACGCATGATGAATAATTATTTATTTTATAGTAAATAAAATAATTAATTACTTAATTATCTATCTTTTCTAGATTTATTTTCGAAGATGTTTTAAAAACAGAGTTTACTATAAGGAAATGTATTTAAATTATGTAATTAAAAAGAGAAATCAATTTTTATTATTTAGATTTTATAAGAGTTGATTTCATTATTGTTGGAAACATCTGCCTAAATATTTATAGTTCTTTGCAAAAAACATCTTACGTAGGATTTCTGATTTATGTATTTGTCTTCTTGACAATCATTTATTCATTATCACAAAAACTAATGAAACAATTGATGACGCAGGTACTGAAGAGGATCAAGAAGCAACAGACATGTTGGTTGGTAACGCTCAGAATCTGATGCAAAGTGTTAAAGAAACCGTCAGAGCTGCTGAATGTGCTAGCATTAAAATTCGTACGGCCTCAGGAATGAAATTACGTTGGGTACGTCGCCAGCCTTGGTACCAGTACTAAAGTAATCAAATGTTTTCGAACTGGAAAAAGAAGCCACACAACAATCATCCTGCTCATCGTAAGAGAATGAATTGAGTTCTCACCAGAAGATTTACTGTCAATTGAACTGATTACGTATCGCTTAAATAATTGCTTTGGAGACATTCAATTGAACTAAATTGATGCAGAGATGGAGATTGTTTAAATACCTATATGATGTTCAACTTAGAAAGCTTAACGAATTTTTCAATGCCAGATGCCCACTTTGATAGCCATATATTGGATATTATAGAAAATTAGTAATAGGTTTTATTCAAATTTGCAATGAATTTTAACATGAAAATATTTTTAGGAGATATTTAAAAAAAAATAGGTTTAAATTACTATGAAAGTCTTGAACCAATTGGAAGATTAAAATGACTACGCCTTTTCGGATATCAGGGTTCACTTTCATTATTTATTGATATCATCAAAATCATTTATTTAAATTAATTATATAATTGTAAAATTAACCATCATCTTTAATGTGTTGATTAATAGTTTTTTCGTTGAGTTTGTAATGTAATTGGCAAGATAGTTTTAATATTTATAAAATTATTCTATTAACATATTCTTAGACAAAGTAACAATGACAGCTTTGTTTAATTAATTAGGAATAACTGTTTTATAATAACGTTTAAAAAATTTTAAAAATATTTTTTGATATAACATTATAATTTTAATGAAACCTTAAGATAATTTGATCATTGAAATAGTTCCAAGGTTAGAGCAATATTAGTAATTAAGTCATTAACGATGTAGAACAATTTCACTAGTTTTTTTTTCTTTAGTCACCAGTAGTAATAACGTTTTAACTTTGATTAAATAATGTAAATAACAAAAAAAGAAATTATTAATTACGGGTATGTATAATATAATAAAAAAGTACTGAATAGTATTTTATCACAGAAAAAACCGACAGATTTTTTATTCATAATGATTCGTCCACAAAGTGATTTATAAATGACTGTTATTCTGCGTTCAATGGCACTTTTTATGAATAAATTAAAAATCAGTGAAATTGTTCTATGAAAAAGGAGTTAACTAGTACATATTTAAGTCAATTAGATAAAAGGTTCTTAAGATATTGTACTAAATAGTAGTACATACTGGAAACCTCTTCCTAACTAGACTGGCCTTACTAAATTAATAAAGTAACTAAATCTCTCGAATAGATAGTAAATATTAAATGTGTCAGTTTTAATAATTGTATGTAAAAATTTTTATGAAGCTATTTTTCCATGTGAGAACGCAATATTTGCCTTAACAGTTGAATTATATATTTTTGTATAAAACTCCGTGCAATACTTTAGATTATTATCACATGAGACGATAATTTTATAAACATTTTATTTTAAATTCTTAGATCTTCCAGTGGTGCTAAATGCTAGTGCAATAAAGTAACATGTAATAACGGAATAATTTAAATTGCAATTATGATGATAAAACGAACCTTACTGTATTTCAGGAACTCTCTATTCAAATATAAAACAACTAATTAATTAATGATTCTAAAATAGGTAATCATTCATATCTCTTAAACATATTTGTGGAGGAAAAATAAAATTCAATTCGACTAATGCCAATAAAAATGGCATAATCTTAGAAATGATTTATATTTCTAAAAGGTTTGAAATAACTTTTTTCATTTATTATAGTTACAAATAAATTGTAAGAATAATTGTTTTCAATTGTAAAAATTACTAATTTCAATAAAATAAAAAATACATTTAATGCCAAACTAACGAACGATGATTTTTAATTATTTTTATTCAATGTTTAAATATCATAATATTAGGGCTGGGCTCTAGTCGAAAAGCAGCCCGATTCCCCCTATCTAGCTACATAAGATCGTAGTTTTGAAAAAAATTTTCCTAACATTTTTTTAAGATATGTATGTTTAGCTTAGATTCTAAAGTTTCTAAAACGTCTCTAAATATTGTTTTTGAACCAGCAGTTCTGAAGTTATTGAGGCTCAAAGTCTTACCTGTGACCGGATTTTTCATTTCTAAATATCAAAACTTGGAAAATGAGCCCCTGATTATCAAAAAATGGCAAGTTATCATATTTATGCTTGGATCATAAAATTTTGCATGTGGTTGGAAAGATCTTGATGAGACGATTCCAAAAAGGTAGCTATTGACTTTGGTTGGTTGAAGAAATCACGAGATATTCGTGAAAATCTGTAAAACATAAAAATATGCATAACTCCTATGCTATTAATGCTACGAGGGTGCTTGAGGGCTCATATGAAAGATCAGGACCTGAGTAAAAAATTGGGGTCCCCCTATAGGATAACCCCGTCAAAAATGCCGTATCTCTCATAGTTTTCGAGTTATGAGCGTTTAAAGGTTTTTCTATGTTTCGATGCAGCATAACTTTGTTTTCTGCTTATAACTCACGAACCATTAGACGTACATAGACTATGAGCATATCAATGGATTCGTAAGAGCTAGAGCTTTCCAATGCACTAGTCAAAATTATGATTTGAGCATAATTTATGCTTCTTTAAAATCGCCGAAATACTTTCCCTACAAACGGCGACTATTTGTCTATTTTTGCGATTTTAAGGGTGAAATAAATTTTTTTTAACAAATCTATGGATTTTGGTCGATAGCTCAGATTTCAAGGTTTCTAAAACGTCCCTAAAAAATTTTATTAGACCGTTTGTTTGAGATTTATAAGGGTTCAAAGTCAGGGGGATGATTATTTTCATCTGTATCCAGTTTTACCGGTTTATAGGGGGTGAAATAAGTTTATTTTGTCAGGCTGTGTCTTAATTTTACATTAGTACACATCAAAACGTGGAGAATGAGCCCGATAATCGTCGAAATTGGAGCTTTTTTTATTTTCCGGCGAAAAAAAATTTAACGGGGTTAAAAAATAAAATTTTTTAAATTTTGAAGTTTGACCACTCATTACCTTCCTATTGACGACCAGAAATGTAAAATTAGATCAAACATTCAAGAAATTTATTTCTTAACAATCAAAATAAAATCGAACCGGAAGTTGCTATAAAAAGGAGCATAAATTATGCTCAAATCATAATTTTGACTAGTGCATTGGAAAGCTCTAGCTCTTACGAATCCATTGATATGCTCATAGTCTATGTACGTCTAATGGTTCGTGAGTTATAAGCAGAAAACAAAGTTATGCTGCATCGAAACATAGAAAAACCTTTAAACGCTCATAACTCGAAAACTATGAGAGATACGGCATTTTTGACGGGGTTATCCTATAGGGGGACCCCAATTTTTTACTCAGGTTCAGATCTTTCATATGAGCCCTCAAGCACCCTCGTAGCATTAATAGCATAGGAGTTATGCATATTTTTATGTTTTACAGATTTTCACGAATATCTCGTGATTTCCTCAACCAACCAAAGTCAATAGCTACCTTTTTGGAATCGTCTCATCAAGATCTTTCCAACCACATGCATAATTTTATGATCCAAGCATAAATATGATAACTTGCAATTTTTTGATAATCAGGGGCTCATTTTCCAAGTTTTGATATTTAGAAATGAAAAATCCGGTCACAGGTAAGACTTTGAGCACCTATAAATCTCAAACAAACGGTCTAATAAAATTTTTTAGGGACGTTTTAGAAACCTTGAAATCTGAGCTATCGACCAAAATCCATAGATTTGTTAAAAAAAATTTATTTCACCCTTAAAATCGCAAAAATAGACAAATAGTCGCCGTTTGTAGGGAAAGTATTTCGGCGATTTTAAAGAAGCATAAATTATGCTCAAATCATAATTTTGACTAGTGCATTGGAAAGCTCTATCTCTTACGAATCCATTGATATGCTCATAGTCTATGTACGTCTAATGGTTCGTGAGTTATAAGCAGAAAACAAAGTTATGCTGCATCGAAACATAGAAAAACCTTTAAACGCTCATAACTCGAAAACTATGAGAGATACGGCATTTTTGACGGGGTTATCCTATAGGGGGACCCCAATTTTTTACTCAGGTTCAGATCTTTCATATGAGCCCTCAAGCACCCTCGTAGCATTAATAGCATAGGAGTTATGCATATTTTTATGTTTTACAGATTTTCACGAATATCTCGTGATTTCTTCCACCAACCAAAGTCAATAGCTACCTTTTTGGAATCGTCTCATCAAGATCTTTCCAACCACATGCATAATTTTATGATCCAAGCATAAATATGATAACTTGCCATTTTTTGATAATCAGGGGCTCATTTTCCAAGTTTTGATATTTAGAAATGAAAAATCCGGTCACAGGCAAGACTTTGAGCCTCAATAACTTCAGAACTGCTGGTCCAAAAACAATATTTAGAGACGTTTTGAAAAAATTTACGGTGGATGACATTGCATGATAAGCTAGAAAACCTTATATTTTATAGTTATACCGTCGGGTCTGTTTTATCAATAAACGTTTTCACTTTACATCTTATTTTCATTTGTAGATATAAGAGGAGTTTTAATAATCCTAAAGTAATAAATTCAATTTGTTTTCAAAAGATTATCAAACACTGTTTATGAAGGAAGTATCAACTTTTTCAAGTGATATGGAATATATTGATCATGTTTATGAAACGAATTTCAATTTACTCAAGAGCTCAGTAAACTAAAATTTAATTGTTGAGTTGAAAACTATTTCGAATTGAAAGTCATGTAAAGTGTACTTCGGAAGCACTTCCTGATGAAGATATTGAATGTTATGGTTGAAAATGATAAAGATTAATCATCTGTCTGATCATTAATTATTGTAATCCATCAAAAAAAGAATGAAACAAGGTATTCAAAGCGAATATTTATAAAATCCTAGCACTGGAATTTTATATAATCGTCTAATAATTAACAGCAAGCATAAGAAGGTTCCTCAAACTCCCATTATTCTTCTTCAGGTCTTTAAATAAATTTATGAGAAATTCAGATAGTTATTTGAAATCCAATAAGTCCATTTATATTCCTCAAAATTAATCATAAATTTATAATTCAACATTCAAGAATTTATTATTATTTAAACTCATCGTCATAGTAACTCATGTTATAGATATTTACTGATGAAAATGAGGTGACTGAGACAATTAAAGCTTTGCTTCTTGCTTTAAAAACTCTATGACTTTTTTTTGTAACATAAAAATTTTGAAATATTATTTCGTCTTATGTTAGGATTATTTTCTAGATTCCTCTGACATAGAACAAAATACGGGAAACGAATTTTACAGGTAAACTGTAAGGTTTATCAACTTCCTTGTACAAATGTGAATTCCGAATGAAGGAAGAAGAACGGAGGAAGAAGAGCGAAAAGTGGGACTTGATAACGGGCATTAAGAATTTTATCTTTGAAATATTCTAATCATACACTATATACTGACGGAACCCTTACCTTAGATAACTGTGTAATGTAGTAATGATGCAGTTCATGCTACTGATTACAATATTCAAATTTCTTCAAATTTCCATGCAAGAGTGTGACCTACTTGTTTTTAAAAAATGACCTTTGGCTATTTTCGACCACTTCAAGCCAATCTTTTTACTCAAGAAGCTTGCTTCCAATATTATTTATCTAACCTAACTATTGACTAAGATGCAAATTTGTTCATTATGTATCGGTCCATTAAGTCACAACAGCTATATTTAACTGTTGAAAATTGCTACAAAGCTTGCTATGGCACTTCAGTTAATATCATGATGGCGAAATTGCTTAATACAGCAGCATATGAGTATCCCTGCGATGAGAATCGAGCCATTATCGTTGGACACCTAACTAGCAATTAACTGAGATATAATCATGATCAGCTGAACTTTGAAATTTATTGTTGACTTATATGTTATAGCTATTCACTTTAATTTAGTCTATTTTTTCAAGTTCTAAAAGTTTCAAAAACACTTGTAACTTGAAGTTTATAGGAAATAAAATTATTTTTAATCAATCCAATTAGAAATGTTGAACCATTAATGAAATGCGTTTTATATTTTTCCAAATTTAATTTCATCAATTTTATGAAATGGGTTAGATTTATTTATTTTATACTGATGGAATTATATTTACAATTTTGTTACTTTTTCATTGTTAAGTTATATTCTTGTTGAATAAATATAAATAAAATTTTGTTCTCTAAATGAAAATAGAATTACATCATATGGTAGTATCACAGAGAAGGCTCTAAAAAATGCAATACTGTTCGATTGATAAACATAAAATTTATTTGAAAGCTAAGCTATTTGAATTACTCCAATTCACCATTATTTGCAGATAATTTCAAACAATTTTTTTCACAATAAAGTTATTCTTCCTTTCTAGAACGTTATACAGCTGATGGCTTTGTAAAAATAAAATAAACGTATCAACATGAAACTTCTGTAGAAACGTAATTGAATCTTCAGCTTTTTTGGCTATACACTTTTTATCAACTGTTTATCTTTTAATTTTATTGATTTGATGTTCTATAATGAATAATACAAATAGAGCTTTTGAATCTCTGTGGAACAAAAACCATGTATAGCACTTGGAATTGAATTTTCGTATGTCAAAGGCATAGAATAGCAAGTATAAAACAGCTTCAGTGGATGTTATTGAAATAAAAAGTATACCTTTTAAAATAATTGATTACCATTTATTTTTAAATTTATTTGTTTATTTAATTACAATAAAGTTAATCCGATATTAAACAATTATTCTTATAAAACAAATATTACATTAATGAACTTTATTAATACATATATATTTAACTTAATGATAGAATAATTTAATTATTTATACTCTCATGTAGTACAGAAGTGTTTTTTCAATTTATTTTTTATTATATTGACTAATTTTTTAATTCTTATTATCCAGGAATCGTCAGAAATGAAAAAGTTGTTAAGCTACTGATGATGTGATGGTAAACTTTAGTTTTGGCAAACATAGTGTAATACTTGATTTGATACTTCTCATTAGCAAGTAAAAAAATTCTTAAAACAATAATTCACAAAAAATAAAAAAAAAAGTGTCTGTATGTTCTTATGACCATGGATTAATTAAAGAGACTACTCCACAGTACTCCAACATGATAATTTATCATTTATTTCGATGGAAACTTTAATGTAAAGTACTTTTTTTTAAAGAAGTAAGAAAAACATGTCGAGAACTTCATCTTAATTTCATTTAAAAGGAGAAGTGTTGTTGGCAATAATAACAAGCCACTGACTGACGGCCAGGGTTTTTTTGACAGATATGATTTCTGTGAGTAAGGCGATTAAAGTTTTTTAACATACAGCCTTTGTGAAACAGACGGTCAGAAAGCTTTTTGGTCATTTATACCTTCTCCAAGACGAGCGGTCGATGTCTATGAATATTATTGAATTTTTTGTCTTGTTGTTCATAACATCAAATGATTTTAATTAAAATTTATTAACTATTCTAGTGATAAAATTTATGTGTCTTGTTTTGTGGAATACTACGGTTTATTATACGACTTCATAACCAATAAAAAATATTTTAATATCTCCTTGTAATGAGAAGTAACAGAAAAAAGTATTCACGTACTAAAGCAATTGCTCTTTTTAATATTGTAGTTTTTTTTAGATTTTCATTTTCATTTAGTCATAAAAAAAGAGAAAAACTCATCACATCATTATAACAAGCTGAATAATGCTAAGACTCCGGTAACAGTGAAAAACAGTATACCGTTGTTGCTTGAAAGAATAGAAGTTGGACTGTAAAACGAGCAATATAACATGCATATGACCTTATTTTTATGTTCAACGTTGAAAAATAGGCTTTTTCCTTTGCGTCACCTTATAACCGACATTCTGCAGCTCAATTCCATCTTCTCAACAGCATGTGTATTTGTTTACTGGCATTAAAACCTGAATAAAAAATAGGTACGTTATGAAAGGTAGTTTGAAATTAAATATTAAGAGAGTGTTCATGTGCTATGGGATAAAAAAGGAGTTCTTAAATATCTATTTCTACAATTTTAAAAGTTGATCCTCATATCTAATTTTATTATAATTATTACAAATACATAATTTTAGTTTAACTATTAACAATAAAAACTTTGAAAAAAATCTTTGAGGTTTAATGTAAATAAAGGTATTTTCATAAGGGCTTTATGCGGTTGAATAATTTCCAAAGAAAATAATGAAACTATGTATAAACACATTATTCCATTTTAAACTAAGTGTTCATTATTTTCAGTGTAATTATATAACAAGAATAAGTAGTTAATATGCGAAGCAATTCAATTTCCTATTTACAATCAAGACTATTGCCAGTGAAACACCAATTTTACCAGCACATAAACTAATCCGATTATGAAATTCAGATAATTACCTTTAGAAATTTCATGTTAGTCTGTTGGTGCGTGATTTGTTTCATGGATATGCGATGTTGATTCAATCACTTCATCACTTTATTAGTACTATCGCTACTTGAATGATACATGAACTTAATTCAGTAATACAGAATTTATAAAATCAATTGTATCTATTGTAACTCCCAAATTATTACTAATTGGAAAAGTAAGCCTTCCATATATGTATATAAGGTTTGCGTTTCAGGATCAGCTTTAATATTAATACATAGTTAAATCATCTTCTTGTTTATTCTTAACTCAATCTAATGATTTCAATTGAATTCATCTATCTGATAAATCTGTATTTAACAGAATTGAAACACTGATAATATATTATCATCATCATCATGAGATTTGATGAGTTCAATTGATAACAATTTAATCAGTAAATCATCGTTATCATCAGTACTTATTTCATTGTGAATCATTTTTTATTGACATTATCAAAGTCCACCAAGTGACCACAAGTAGTACATCGACTTCATGTATTAAATTATCTTCAAGATTAAGGCACGTTCTCGATCCAATAATACTGGAACAGATGTCAAGAACTTTGGAGAAAACTATAAATCAATGAGTCTGGAACTTCGACGTTATTCTTACATTGAATTGTATTCAATTGATTTACTTGATTATTTCTGGAACAAATAAAATTACCATTAATTAAATAAATCCTTTGTTTTTTAAAATAATCTACTGAATATTTTCCATTAAAGGATTTTATACTTACTCGTAAAGCAGGATGATAACGATCAATAGGATAGTGATAAATAAAAGTAGATGTATTTTGAATTCTGGTAACGATGAGGAAATCCAAGCGAAAGGTTGAATGTCTAGGTAGTTTTGACATCTGCAAAATGCTGCTTTGGGTTTTTCCTTAATTCAACTCATAAATTCAGTATCTGGAGTGACATTTCCACGAGTATTTGAAGATCAGTCGATCTCTAGAATTTCCTATAAAGAAAATGGAAAATATATTATAAAAAGTAGATCGAAAAGTGGAAAAATATTATAAACGACAGCTGTGGATTTTTTTTTACTTCAAGTTTTATATTATTTGTCATAGTAATGATACATTACACCAGTATCTTTTATGCACACATGAATAAATTTTATCTTGGCAATATTTCAATCAAATAAAAAGTCGGTTTACAAAAAATATAAACAAAAAAAGTAAATTTTAAGCTTCTTAATGAATTCGTTTATAGCACGGAATACTGTAATTTGTCAATTATATTATGTTAATCGTACAAAAGTGTAAAAAGCTTCTACAAGTGAATGATATCTTACATTATTTAACATTAATTACAATAAGATTATGAAAATAAGAAAATAAAAACAAAGCCAAGTGTTGAATAAAACATTTTCATCAGACAGACAAGTAAAGATATGAGACACCGTGAAAAATGTTTCTTGAAACTTTGTAAGAATGAAAAGTAGACTCTTGTATTAGTCTAATATATGAAGCAAGTAGCTTTTGATTTGAAATGTAAACATGATTTAATGCTTTGGAGAAATATTGATAAATAGAACAGAACAAGTTTGAGTCTTGTAGCTGTAGAGGTAAATAAGAGAGATGGAAAAAGTGTGAATAGACTATCCACAACTTGAGATCTGTCTTATTTCCGTTTACTAAGAGTCAAGTCAACGTGATGTGCAGTTAATAGGAAAAGAAGATGATCAGAAGGTGATCAAAAATAGTAATTAGGTGTTAACCAACGAAGCTTATAATGGATGTTCTTTAATCAACTCTATCAAGGTTCATTTAAATTCTGAAGTTAACAATATTATTTAGTAATTTTATCTTGCAGTGTATTACATTTTTATCAATAATTCAAGCATTGATGTTATATTCAATCCTTTTCAGCTTAGATTCAAAATAATTTATTTCAAAGGATTAATCTTAATTACTTGTTTTTGCATCAAAATCTACAGATGTTGGAATATTCATTTTTATTAATAAACCAGTTTTGGTGAGCTGAATCTAGCTTTATTAATTATTGAACATTCATACTAGATGATGAATTAATTCATCTTGAATTACAAAGATTATTTAACTACAGTAAATAAATTTCTTGATGGATTTAAAAAATGTATTTATTTAAAAAGTTGATTCATTTTCATGTTGCTGCTGCTTAAAAGAAGAACTTTTAGTGGATAAAAAAAAAATAGAGAAAATAGGAAAAAAGGTTTCTAACTACAACCATAATTCATCTCAATTATTTGAAGAACTATATCCCGTTTTTTTTTGTGAAACTGTAGGATCTATACCATCTATAACTACTTTCTTCTCTCGTAGATTCTTATCGAAACTTGTGAAACAATGTAGTATACCAGCTGAGTTATACATCACTTTCTTCAACCGCACTTTTCTCTGTCGAATCGAGTTTTGTTGGCGTTATCGAGTTTTCGGACGATGTATCGAAAAACCGATCGATGTAAAAGTTAAGTATAAGGCAGAAGCTTAACTCAGCCAGTAACAGAAACCATTTATTCAAGTGTATCTTTTCTTTTCATTCATTTTGCTGTGATGTTAGTGGATCTGATAGATCTACTCTGTTATGGACTCTTGACATAAGCTTTTTGTGTGCTTCAATACAAGTAATAGAAACCAAAATGGTGCATTGAAATGGTTGATGTCATCAAGAAAATCCAGTCTAGAGAATTGGTGTTACCAAAATAAACCATTTAGCTGGCTTATGGGAGATATTGAATTATACAAATGAGTCAAGTGGGGATTAGGTAATGGACATAAGTTTGAGACATCTGGGGAACAGCTTAGGATCTTGCACAAGGCTCATTTCTAGTACTAAATGCAGACGGGCTTTGCCATCAATCTTGAAGCAATTCATGCACATGTATATGTGTGTATAATAGCTTACCCGTTGCTACTGACCATGACCCAAGACCCTGGTGGACGTTTTATCCATCATCTGATATCGTCCTTGATTCTCTATCACTGCTATTGATGCATCTCCAAGGAACGTCCCCCTCTGATCAATGTTAAATCCCTTAGATCACCTTAGACTTGCCCATTTTATCGTTGAATCATTGAAACTGCTTCTTTTATTACCTCTCAATAGTATAATGATTATCCTATCAATCCACTGGGACTTCCGTAAACCTGCCGATAGAGAACAAACTTTATATATGGTTAGACATCAACTAAAATACTATGAAATTTTGTTCTAAGAAAAATAGGGTCAATTTTAAAATGAAGTTTTTATTATAAATTGAACAGTGAATATTGATTGTAGAAAATATTAAAAATAATCAATCCACAAAAAATTTTACCAAGTTGAAGATGAATCATTTTTAATAACTTTTAGTAAAAAAAAAAACAGTGAATGCTTTAAAAAAAGAGTAAATAATGCTATTAATTTTTCGAAAATATTATCAAGTATATCCATTTCAAGACAATGAACATATTAAACCAAAAAATATTTAAACTTTGCTGCGGTTTTAAATAAAAAATTTCTTAAAAATAAAACTTGAAGTTGTAATAAACTGGAACACGTAAAGTAAAACGAATCTACATAGATGAAAAAACGGAGAAAAAGTGACAAAACTTGTTCGAAACATGGCAAATCTTGCACAAAACTAACAAGCTAAAATTTAACGTGATTGCAAGAAAATGGCCATTGGGTTGAACATCAAGTGACAAACGGCCCTTTAACCGCGACGGCTTAAAAAGTCGGTCGTTGGAGTTGTGGTGGACGTTCAACTTTTTTCCTATCGTTTTCTTTTCTCACTTATACAGTTTTCCGCCTTTCTCATCATAAGTGGGCTCAGCTCATAGTTGGCCAACAGCCAACATGTCTTAGATAGCGACTAATATATAAAAAGAACGCGCGATGGTTTAATGTGCTTAATGGTCTGCGACGTCGGCGGATTCTGACCGAAATTATGGTGACGTCGTTACCGATGAGCTCGACAAGCGCCATTAACATCGCACTCTGGAATATCCAACGGATTGGAGGTAAAATGCTTGTCAAAGGAAACAAAAGGGGCACAATCGGAAACCAGTTTTGACCATTATTGCTGATGCTGCAATTGGCATGTAAACAAAAACAACCCTAGGTAATTCTATGGGCGAGGATTGTGATTCAAATGAGCTTTAAAGAGCTTTTTAAAAATTCAACAAGAATTCGAATGACTATTAAAAAAAAAGTTTAAACATTTTTTATTTAAAATATTTTAAAAGACTCTTGATGAAAATAATAATTATGAAAATACTGCATTTTTTATTAAATATTTCCTCAAGCATCTTTATCTCTGGAATGTCTGATAATTTTTTTTTGTATTTGTTAACACAATAAAAAAATTATAATTATAGCAAAAAAAGTTTTGCAGATTTTTTTTATTTATTTAATTATAAATCAATAAACGATGCTGTAACATATTTAAAATTGAATTTTAATTTATTATTAATAAATAAAATAATAAAATAATCATTTTTAAAATTGCTTGGTAATTTTAATGTAATTTATTATAAAATTTATTGACTGAGTTTAATTATTTATAGACAAGTTTAAGTTTCAATTTATCTTTAGCATGCCGTTAACTCTTTCTTATATTAACAAAGTGCTTCGAACCGGAAACACTTTTTGTGACATAGCTATTCTTTACACCTATTTTCATATTTTTTGTTTTTAATTTACTATTGAGTAACTTATCTTAAACATTAATTTCTTCTATTTCAATTTAATTGACATTTTTTCGTATTTTTATATCAATAAAATCGTAAAATAATTTTCCTGTAAAAATTTCATGTTTACATATCTAAACAAATACACTGGTAATATTTTTCACAGACAAAAAAATTAGTTTTTGCTTATGAGTATGAAAAACGTATGTACGCAATCGGTAGAACTAGATATTGAATTCACACAAGAATGGAAAATGTGATAACTCTAAAGGTTTGATAAAAAAAGGAACAATGCATATTTGATTTCATAGCAATTTATCAGAGTATAAAAAACTTTATCAATTTTTGCACTGTAATATTTTCTAATATTCGAAAATATCTTTTATTCGACCATAGTTACATAATTTAAAATATTTAAATTAAAAAAAAAAAAAAAATGAATAATATATGTATTAAATGTATGTGTATTAAAATATTTAAAAAAGTTTAGAATAATTTATTTTAAAAAATGTATACATAAATAATGGAATGAATTATGAAGTGTATGGTATAGAAAATAAACCAAACTTTTTCACCTCAGATAAATGAGTTTCGAATAAAAAAATGTTTTTATAAAGATTGCCACAACTTTAGAATATTTTAACTGATCGCTCCCTTTAATTAGAGAATCTTTTAAGCACTTTCGTAGGGAGTTTAGCGTGAAAATGAGCCACGAAAAGTTCTACGAAGCTATTGTATAGTTTCACAAGAAGGTTATCTTGGCTTTCTAATGAGAAACCAAAGTAGACGAAGCCGTAGATTTTCACTGACTGAGATAAGTATATATCCCTTTAATTCAACGAATCAATTGGATCTTTACTTCTCAATTGCCATTTCCTTCTCTTTTTACTAGTAATTAGTTGAAATTAATACCGAAAGAAAATTTGCACAAATTAAACTGAAATTCACAAGAACTTTAGTTATATTTAAGAAATTGTTACTAATTAATTTTTCAATTGAAATTCGTTTGGTAGAAATATTAAGAAAAAATTTTTATGCACCAATTATTGGAGAATTTTGTAATTAATTTCATTATTAAACTTTGTTTCTTGTATCTTTTTTTTTTATTAAGTGGTTTTCTGGAGTTTTGTTAGATAATCTTGGAAATTAGGACAAACACTTGATTGGATCAGTAAGGAAATTGTTGTGTAAAATCTTAAAGTTTTGATTAAAGGTGTAAATATCTTCTTCAATACAAAAAAAATACAATAATTATAACAAAAGAATTTGTTAAAATAAATTATTCAAATTTATAAAGTAAATAATGTAAATGAATGTCAAAATTGAAATCAAATGGGTAATTATTGAGTTTGATCACAAAATTATTGGTTTAGAGTAAATAATAAATAGTTGTTTAAATGAAAAATAATAATCAGTCCAATTTCCTCTGATAAACTATATCATAAATTAATTAATGTGTACAAATCTTTAAATCTTCCAGATTTGAAAGCCATAATACATAATCGGTAGATGCTGGAAATACTGCTGACGACTGATTTATTGCATGTTTCAGAGAATTAATTAAGCTATCCATTAGCATAAGATGTAGCGAGTTATCAGGGATTACTAGAGTTAAATTTTTTTTTAAGGATTTATGAAAAATGTTGAATTTTTATTCGCAAAATATCCCATCAATCTTATTTTCAGTCATTCATTTTTTAAATCTGTTATACTTTTTTTTTTTTTTATTTGAATAATTAATCAAATAATAAAACAGAATAATATAAAAAATTTTCTGCTCGTCATAGAATTATGTAATTTATTAATTTTTTATATAATTGATAAATGGAATTATAAGTTGCCTGCAGGTGTACGTCAATGATAAACATTTTTTCTTTTTGAGGGAAAAATAATCTGTTGGGAAAATTAAAAAAGGGTTTTTAATAAAATAATATCTGTAATTGAATGATAAAAAGGGCATGGAATAAAGAAGATATTCTATAGGATATTGCAAGAAAATTATACTATTGACAAAATAAAATAAAGATTTTATAGAAGATAACTGTAGAAATATACTTGGTATTGGTTCAATATCAATATGAAAATTCTTATTTCAGAAAGAACAGAAAAAACGTGACCATAGTATGTTCCAATAATACTAAAAATAATCTGAACTTCTTTACATTCGCAACGTCATGCTCGCTGTGAAAAATACAAGATAGGAACTGTGATGATTCGCATGCAAGATGCAGAAGACCTTTGAATTCGTTTCGTTGCACTGAGAAAAGTAACTTCGATCTTTTTCCACGTTTGCCTGTAATAAATTCAATTACAGAGAAAAATAGGTATAGGGAAATTGATTGAGATATACTATCATCATGATTTTTCGTTTTTCTAAATTTACTACACTTATTACCTTCATCACTTTAATTTCATCAAGATTTCACGGATTATTTACATTTGTATTGCTTATGGCTCAAACAATTCTCTCATCTCTTTTATTTAAAATTACAATCAAAAGAACTGTGTCATTTATTAAGAAATAAAATTAACTTATGTAATTTTTGATAATTACAAACAGTGTTTGAGTAATTACAAACATACTAATTAATACAAAGGGTTTTTTTAAAATAAAAATTTCATTTAAAGAATGCTGGTATGCTTTGTGATTTTAGCAAAAATGTTGAATTAATTATAATGAAACAAGTAGACAACTGGACTGAAAAATTTTCATTCAAATTTTTCAATGATTGTTGAAATAAAGGAACTGGTCCTTTAATACACAGTCTTGGTGTGACAACCTGACTGTATTCTTTTATTTTCATTGTCTGAATTGAATTATGGGCTGACAGTTGGAAGTGTAGGAAGTATGGTTTCCATGTAGAAATAGGTAACTTGGCTCTTTGGAGCTTTAAGAGCTTCCATAGTTCTCGTAAGAGCAAGTGAGAAAGATTGAAGGTACATATTGGATTCTCCTGCATAAGTTTCTCTCTCTCCCTCTCGACCTCTTCCCTTCTTTTTTTTCTGCTTTAAAAAGGTTGATTTGGCTTCGAATTTGATAAAAAGACTTTAAAAAATGATTCACTCCTATTTCAATCAATGATCCAGTAGCCCAACTTATTTCCTTGACATCTTAAGGATCGATACCAAGAGCTAATAAGTCCTTTGCTTGCCAGCAAAAATTCTCCTGCATCTTAAAAAAAAGTTATTTCCTTTTCTTTCTCATTTAATCGTTAGTTTATTTTGTTATGAAAAACTCAATTTATGCCTATGAAAAAAATTTTATCAGATAATGTTACACAAAATAATGCGGCCAGGCACTTGAACAAGAAAATGTCAAGTTATTTGAATAAATAGTAAGGGTTTAAAGCAGCTTGATTTAAAAATGTAGTAATTAAGCAATAAAGTAAGGTTTAAAGAAAAAAAAAGGGAAGAAAAAGACATGAACTAACCTGTTCTCTCAGAACACGTATGTTGAAATGTGGCTACGTGCAACG